CTTACAAAAACATGTTTATAAATTTTCTTAAAATATTCAGGATGGATACCGTATTTTCTGGACTATAAGTCGCACTTTTTTCATGGTTTGGGTGTTTCCTGTGACTTATACTCTGGTGCGACCACGAGGGGGCGCTCTAGTCTTGTGTGTCAGTTTCCTACGCATGTCTCCTACAGAAAGAGCCGCTGTCCTGCTGCAAGTCATGAAAGTTTGGAGTGAGAGAGAAACTTGTGACACCGGGAGGACGCAGCATGAAACTTTCCTGAAGTCACTGGATGGATGGACAAAGTCTGGACTTCAGTGACACCGAAACCATCCTGTCGGGATTCAGAAAGACCGGAATAATTCAGTAAATATAACCAGGTCTAGTCCCCGTCTAAACCAAGGTCTAAATCAGGTCTGAACTGGAAGTTGTCCTAAACCAAGTCTAGGTCTAACTGAGGCCTAAACCAGGTCTAAACCAGATCTAACCATGATCAGAATCAGGACCTGGATTAAACTAAATCAAAGCCAGATCTAAATCAGGTCTAACCCGAGGTCTAAACCAGGTCTAAACCAGGTCTGAACTGGAAGCTGTTGTTTTTACTGCAACTTCACTTTACACAGGAAATGTCTACTCCTGCTCTCTCATTTTACAAAATAAATTTCCCTCAAAAATTGCCACTTATGTATGTTTTTTTCTTCTTCATTACACATTTTTTGGCTGATGCTACTTATACTCCGGAGCGACTTATAGTCCGAAAAATATGGTATACAAATGATTTTTCTATAAAGATTCAGAACAATTGTCAGAATGAAGTGAAGTTTAGGCCAGAGACACGGCACAGAGCTGATGTGGGCGAGGACTCAGAGTCAAGCCATTTGATGGAGTCAGGTCCAGTTCCTCCTCAGAAACACCAGGGGGCGCAGTGAACCGGAAACGCTGCATCAGAGTCACAAAGAAGATGAACAACTCCATCCGAGCCAAACCCTCTCCCAGACAAATCCTACGACCTGAAAGAAGAGGGAGGAGAATCACAACAGAGAGTTACTCAAACACGAAACAAATGAAACAAAACACAACTCCAGGTATGTTTTTTGAGACGGTAACAACATTCTAACATGATTTAAAACTCACAAGACAATTTTACCAAATATAGGACAATTTTAGAAGCAGTACGTGTATGTGGAGTACATTTTACCCATTTAAATGCACTTTACTTGAGTAGAAATGTGCTGTACTCTGAGTTGTACCTGCAGAGAAGGGCATGAAGGCGTCTCTCTTCCTGAACTTTCCGTCTTTGTCGAGGAAGTGATCTGGATAGAAGCTGTGAGGCTTTTCCCATTCGCTCTCGTCGTAGAGCACCGAGGTGAGGAGCGGCCACACCTGAGTGCCCTGTGAAAACCAACAGAGTCACAGTGTTATTTCTGTTTTGAACACTAGATGGGAGCATTGGGTCAAATATCAACAGCTCTCAAACTTCCACTGCTACAATTACTCCACTCCAACAAAAAAAAAAAAAAAAGCTTCTCATAGGTCTCAGAGTGACCCGGTTTTTGACAGATTTGATGCACAATCATAAATTGGGCTTCAGAAGGAGCTGGAAGAGCCCCTTGTGAAATTTCTGTATGTATGTACTGTATGTATATGTGTATATATATATATATAGACACACAGATAGCAGGTACCAGGCCTCTGGTAGAGGACCCAAGCTGGATGAAAGGGAGAGAGACCAACCACCGTGGAAGGTGAGTAACACTTTTTTTTTTTTATGGTACCATGTAACTTTTCTGGTAGATAACTCAATGTAGATATTATTGGGGTTTTTTGTTAGTTTTTTTTATGGAATGTTCTACAGCATGGCCGTCCATCCATCCATTTTCAGTATCAGTCTCAGCAGGGACTCCCAGACTTCCTTCACCCCAGACACTTCCTCTAGCTCCTCTGGGGGAACCCCGAGGTGTTCCCAGGCCAGCTGAGAGACAAAGTCCCTCCAGCATGTCCTGGGTCTTCCCCAAGGCCTCCTCCCGGTGGGACATGCCCAGAACACCTGAGGGAGACGCCCAGGAGGCATCAGAACAGATGTCCTCCCCTCAGCTGCTCCCCTCCATGTGAAGGAGCAGCAGCTCTACGCCAAGCTCCTCCTGTGTGACTGAGCTCCTCACCCTATCTCTAAGGGAGCGCCCAGACACCCTGCGAAGGAAACTCATTTTGAGCACTTGAATCTGTGATCTCGTCCTTTCAGTCATTACCCAGAGCTCATGACCAGAGGTGAGGGCAGGAACGAAGACTGATGGTAAATCGAGAGCTTTGCTTTTCGGCTCAGCTGCACAATGGTCCGATACAGTGACCGCATCACTGCCAACGCTGCACCTGTCCACCTGTCAATCTCACGCTCCATCCTCCCCTCACTTGAGAACAAGACCCCGAGGTACTTGAACTCCTCGACTTGAGGCAGAGACCATGGTTCTCAACTGGAAAAAGGTGGATTACCCTCTCTTGCCCTCCGGCCCCTGACTGCGCCTAGAAATTATGTCCATAAAAACAATGAACAGAACCGGTGACAAAGGGCAGCCCTGGCGGAGTCCAACATGCACCGGGAACAGGTCTGACTTACTGCCGGCAACAAACACAGCTCCTGCCCTTAGTCTGCACACAGTAAGCATGCATGTCTTGGCGGTGACTTTGTGCATAAAAATACCTGTAAATGAATAAATACACAATATATTTCTTTGATGCCACACTGCGGAACATTCCAGGCGACACAATGACATCACCACAAGACACTCCACCGGAAAAGTTACACGGTGCAGCTTTAAAGTCTAATCCATCTGCAAACTGTATAACTGCAATTGAAACTATCAGCACTTGAAAACAAATTAGATTCTTGCGTTCTTTTCTTCGTTCTCACCTTTTTGATGAAGTGTCCCTGGAAGGTGATGTCTTGGCTGGTTTTGTGGGGCAGGGCCATTGGAGCAATGTTCCCAAACCTCTGCGTCTCGTGGATCACGGCGTCTGTGAAGGGCATGTCTCTTCTGTCCTCCGTCTGGACCTGGCGACTTCCGATCACTCTGAAGATCTCCTCACGAACCCGGTCTGAAACAACAATATCAAAAAAAGCACACAAGATTTAGAGAGTATTTTGTGATCTGTGCTAATGTAGTCTCCTCGTCACAAACAGGCCTGGAGTTTTGCAAAACTTTGGGATGCAGGAGTGCTACTTGGATATACAAAAATGTGCAGAATTGTCCTTTTGGTGCTCTTCAGTGTAGGGACCAGTCTCAAATACAAAGTAGAAAAAAACGAGGCACTCAAAAAGTACTAAATAATTCAAAGCCTTTAATAGCACACGGCAGATAAAGTTAAAATCACACCAATGCGTTTGCAGGGTTTGTGTCCCACCTTGTGATGTCATGTGATAATACAGGAAGTGCTCCACTGTCTTTTACCAGGGACAGCGCACAATTTTTACATTAACCCTAACAGGAGAGATGCATTGTACCAGGTTGTAGCACCAGTGTTAATTTCCACCTGTCGTCCCTGGGCAGGTTGATTGATTGATTGTATTTAACTGACCTGAGCTATCAACTGTTCCTCCTGGAGACCTGTGTAGCATGTATTGGTTTGTTTTTAAACCATCTCTACTGAATTAAATGTAAAATGTAGCTGCAGCTGTGGTCGTACCCTGGATGTGTGGGTATTTGGCCATGAGGAGAAGCCCCCATCTGAGGGTGGTGGAGGTGGTCTCTGTGCCCGCGGCGAACAGGGACAGGACGGAGTGCAGCAGGTTTTCTTCGTTGTACACACTGTCCGTCACCCCAGACTCCTGTGGGACGAACGCAGAGTCACAAAAAGTCACTTTTAAATTAAATCATTCTTTAGACCAGTGTTTCCCAAATCTTTTTTTTTTTTCTGCGGATCCATATTTTAAAAGTGACAAACTTTCACGATCCAAGTCGATAGACATTATTTGTAAACCACAAAATAAAGGTGGACTTGAGCATTGTTGAACATTAATGAGGATATTTTCTTGTTGAGTAATCGTGTCTCTGAACAATTAGTATTACTCAAGTTTTAAACAATGAAAAACAGTCAATAAAAGGATCCATAAGTCGCCTATTTTGGACATTAGATGTAGCTCATTTCTTTTTCTTTTCAACATTCAATTGAACCAGCAATACTGGAACAAAATAGTCAATAAAAAATACAAAAAGATTAGAAATGATACAAAACATGTCTTAATATTTGAACGTTTCTAATGATATAGTTGGGCCTGTTTGAGTTTTTATAGCTTGTTCCAGTTCGTGTGCAGGACGACAGCGCAGCAGCAGATCAGGTGACCCCCCCCAAAAAAAAATCTCTTGTGATCCACCTGAGGGTCACGACTCTTCTCTTTCAGTTCTTTAGACGCTTTCACTCTTACTAGTTTTGTTCAGTTTACTTTGCATATGCAGCCCCTGGGCAGGTGCACACACAGTAAATATACTTGAGTAATACGTCTGTAACAGTGCTGTGCTCTCACCTGAAAATAATCTGTGTGGTGTATCTCATGAAAATGCCAGATGTAAACCTCAAGTTGTAAATTAGATGTTACTTTCACTCTTACAGTTACGCTTACTTGAGTTGTAGTTTCCTCATATACTTTTTACTCTTACTTAAAGCATTTCTTGGTCTTTTTTCTACTTAAAGGGCCCATCTCATGCAAAATCTACTTTTCAGAGCTTTCTACCTTCTCAGAGTGATGTGTGGGCCTTGTATTTGTCGCCCAAGTGTTTTTTAGACTGAGTTGGCATTTTTTAAACAAATTGCAGCGTATTTCTGCCACCCTCCCACGTGACAATGAACTAAAGCTGCAACAACAATGACACGACAGATACATTGACGTAGCAGAAAGCGCTTCACACCTCCCCCCTCCACCGCCTCCACTCACACAAGATATAATAAGTTGATCTACTAGTGTTTATTAATACTTTACCAATCAGTAATGTTCAGCTGATGTGGACGCGGTGCTTGAGCTTCGTGCTCCTCAAAGTCCTCGTCCGATTCCGGGTCCAACACATGCGGCTGAACGAGCTGTATCTCCATGATGAATAAAAGTTTATTCCTGCCTCTATCAGGGTCACGCCTGTCTCCCCCTCCCTCCCTGAGATGGCGGAGGAAGGGCGGCTCACTCAGAGCCTACGTCACGTTTGGAGGGCGGAGCCTGTGCTTTCTCAGGACGGGCGGGGGGAGGAGCAATAGTCAGACTTTCATAGTTCCTGGTCTGTGACTGTCTCCAAGAAATCAGTAAGATTTTATAACTATTGTGCAATGGATGTTCCAAAACCCAAATTGTGCTTGTTTATGTACAGAAGATACAATGTGAAAAGAGTTATTTTGCATGAGATGGGCCCTTTAAATATTATTATTTGACATGACATGAGGAGATGTGGTCAGACCTTCTTGTCAAAACCTGATCTCGTTAGATTTCAGAAGCTCAACGGGACTGAGCCTGAATGGGAAATCAGTGAGAATGTCAGGGGCGCCAGTGGCAAAAACTGTTGGGCAAAACATTTCACCCACATGGCCTAGTGTGAATGTGGTGTGAGTGTGTGCTGGTGGTGGTCAGAGGTTGGTTTGAGGTTAATGAGTGAATCAGTAATGTCAATAATGCCTCTCTACCGCTCTGACTACCTCTACCTCTCTCTCTTTGTCTCCCAGTGACAGTGTGACCTGACCCAGTAACATGACTTTTATGATGCCTGAGGATTTTTTTTTTATGGTCTGACATTTCTTTTTTATTTGTTTTGTTCTGGTCTGTTATGTGAAAGGTCAGATAACGAAGGTTTCTCTCGTTAAAACACGCAGCTTCTCTTCACAAACAAAGTGAAATCTGCAGAGGAAAAGTTTAGTTACAACATTTTCATACTTGGGCTTTTTAGGAGTTGGTATCTGAACTTAGACCTCAGTATGGAAACCAGTACTAAACCAGGTCTAAACCAGGACTAAACTGGAACTGAACCAGGTCTAAACCAGGACTAAACTAGAACTGAACCAGAGCTGAACCAGGACTGAATCAGAACTGAATCAGAACAGGTCTAAACCAGGACTAAACTGGAAATGGACCAGGTCTAAACCAGGACTAAACCAGGACTAAACTGGAAATGAACCAGGTCTAAACCAGGACTAAAATAGAGATGGACCAGGACTAAACCGGGTTTAAACCAGGAATGAACCAGGTCTAAATCCTGCAGATTTCATGAGCCTATGCAGTTTGTTTTCACTGTTGCCAGTCGCTCTGGTTTGACATTTAAGTTGTAGCTATTTTATATTTATTTTTTTAAATCTCATGTCAGGAGAAGTGGGTGGATCTGAGTATTTGATCCTTGAGTGGCAAGTTTTGGAGTTTGTACTGACATTTAGACAAACAAACAGTCAGCACTGAAATCTTTGTCTTGTGTAAATCTCACCTGCACAGCCTTTTGTTTGACCATGAAGGCGTCGACGAAGCCTCTGCACATCTGTGGGTTTAACGTCTCTCTCAAACCTTTGAACAAGGACCGGTTTTGGTCTTTCAGGAAGTCAAAAATCTTCTTAAGCTTTTGCCTGTTTTTGATCCAGCGCCCCAAAGAAGGAAACATGTTGAAAAGCTGAAATGACAAGTTAGTATTTATGTTTCACAGTTCCTCCAGACCCTGCGTTTGGATTTAGTTCCACTTTAATCTTTCGGTCGAGCTCATTCTCGCTCGTTTTTCGAACAGCTCACCAGCATGGGAGGGGTGCTAGCGAGCTGGATGCGTTTGTTGACTAGGTCGACCATGGTGGTGAACTGAGGGTCCTGGTACTGGAAGCGTGAGCCGTAGACCAGAGAGCAGATGATGTTTGACACTGAATAGTTCAGAGTCTGCATCGTGTCAAACGCTTTTCCTGAAAATCAAACACAACACGTGTCCTTCAGTTACGTGACCAGCCAGAACCACACGCTCTGATCAAACTTAACGAAGACGAGTGGATCTGGAGTCATGTCCTGTTCTACTTCGTTCTTAATGAGTTTGTTTACAGCACATCAGCGTCCTGGTTACGATCGGGTTTTCTGAGTATCCTGGGTTTGTCATGGTGCATATAAACGCAGTATCCCGGTTAAGATAAGATAAGATAAGATAAGATAATCCTTTATTGTCTCCCATGGGAGAAATTTGTCTTGGGACAGGGGGTAACATGTTTTATCAAAATACAGGACAACACAACACAAAGCAGCACATAAACAAACACCATAAAACAAAGTAAATATGAGACCAGTATGACCACGAGTGATGCACCAACAGGACCCTTAAATTATCCTTAACAGGCAAACCCTTGCATTCTTCTGTTCTATTAATTATTGCACATTCCCTAAGCCTATGTGCAGTTTTAGTTATATTGCACATTCCCTAAGCCTATGTGCCTATACTGCAACATAAAGTTGAGTGCACATGTGTCCAAAAGACAAACACTTTCCAGTCTTTTCACCACAACAGTAGCGACATAAATAAAGTGACCATAATAAATAAAGTGACCAACGTAAATAAAGTGACCAACGTAAATAAAGTGACCATACATGAGTGAAATGACTGTAAAATAAAGAGCTGCGCTAAACCTGCACATGTACAATCTGCACAGGTATGATCTCTGAGTTAGTTAAAACATGAACTATCTTAGGGTGACCATATTTCCGTTTGTGAAAACCTGAACACCTTACCGGGGGTGGAGATTCGACATTGAGCTACTCTCACCTCGCAACCTGTGCACATGGACTCACACTTGTCCTGACCGGGACATTGTCATTGTTAAAAGTGCATTTGTGTTTCCGCATGTTGCAGACTGACCGAATGTTTGTGTCTGCTCGCTCCTTCTGAGTCACAGACGCTACGAGAGACGCTCAGTTTAATGGCCCCAATGAACAATAATGAAAACCAAAACATTCCCATCATTTAAAAAAAAAAACCCGGACGCCCAGGACAGGACCCAAAAAACGTGTCCGTGGAAAAATGGACGTTTGGTCACCCTAAACTATATCCAACAAAATATACACACAGAACAGACTCACCATCATCAGCACATCCTCTGACACAGAAAAGAACTCACATATTCCACTGAGTCGTGTCTTTTAGTCCGACAGAAACTGAACCACATCAGCGACACAAGGAGCGATCTGTTTTTATCTAACAGTTTATGCAAATGAACCATGCGGTCTTAAGTTTCATTTCTGTAAAACTTAAACAAATGTGAGCTGAATTATCTGATCAAACAGGCTGATGTGTCTCTACAGTGTTTATGGTTTATATGTTGTAAAGTTGAGTTTATTTATGCAGAAGATTTTAATGAAGAATCTGTTGGGTTTGATCTGTGCAGTGGATTGTGGGAAATCGCACAGCTCCTCACCGCTGGTTAAACCTCCCGAACTTCCTCTGCTAAAGGAGCTCATGGTTTGTATTTTTCCTGGTTTATTAAATGAAATTAAGTAAATTTTTGCGCTTGCACATTTGTAAGATTATGTCAAGAAACCGGGATACTTCATTTGATCATGTCACAGGGATATGAGTGTCCTGGTTTCTCAGCGCATGTAAACGCAGTATCCCAAACACTGACAGAACCGGGATACTGAAGTGCATGTACACACAGTCACTGATCTGAGGATTTTGGAGAGGACCATCTCCACATGCCTTATTTTGTCTAAAGGATTCCAGCAGCTCACAGGTGATTAGACGTAAAGGCCAATTTATGGTCCAGCGTCAAATTGTCTGCGTCACGATGCAGAGAGTCTGTGTCGACGCGTACCCCCTACGCAGAGCCTCTGCGCCGACTGACGTGCACCTCCAAAATTTTCTAACTAAGCTTCGAAAATGAGGCAGACGGCAGGGAACGCGACGCAGACGATAAGAGCTGTGATTGGTCCTCCCTACCACCGCTCTACACACATTTCCTGTACTTGGCTTTCCTTTCTTTCAGTATACATTGAGAAATAATGTGTTTAATGCAGCTTTGTGTATATGTGTTTACAAAACTTAAAACCACATGATTAACTTGCGTAAACAAAGCGCTCAAAAAACAGCTCGCTCCTTGTGCCCTGACAGCTTCTGTCGGACTTAAAAAAGACACGACTCAGTGGAGTATGAGTGTTCTTTCTGTGACAGAGGGATATTCTGCTTATGGTGAGTCTGTTCTGTGCTTTTATCGCGTTGGAGATGGTTTATGTTAAACTTTTCAGAGATTACACATCTGCAGGTCACACGCATAGACTGTTTATATGAATGGACAGATATTCTAGCCTCTTAGCGTTTTGGCGGTGAATTACTTTGCGGCGCATAGACCTCGACGCTGATCCATAAATCAAAAACGATGGGGACAAGGCGACGGCGACAGTGCGCGTTGAGTCGACGCAGTAAATACTTCACCCTTTACATGTACCGTTGTAGTTCTGCAGGACGTCCACCAGGTGTCCACACTCCTCTGTGATCTTGTCCTCACAGGCCTTCTTCCCCATCCCGAAGTCTCTCAGGTTGGTGATGGCAAAGCGCCGTAAATCCCTCCATCTCTCTCCGTTGGACCAAATCAGACCTGTCACAGAAACAACATGTGCATTATTATTTCATTTCACCAGAGAAATAGAAATTAGATGATGTTATGAAGATGTTAAGATGCAGCTGTAACGTAGAAAAGTAACGTGACCAAGGTGGAGCTCACTGGTCTGTCACGTTTCGCTCACCTCAGACGAACGAACGAGTGATTTCTGTGATGTGATGTTTTACCGTGTCCGTTGCTGGTCTCCCTCATCAGCGCAGTCGATGCTCTTTCTCCAAACACCTCGGCGTGGGTCACCAGAGCCTCCTTCACCGTCTTGTACCCCACCAGGATCACCCACTTGTTTGGGCCCATCCATACGGTGAGCACAGAGCCGTACTTCTTCGACAGCTTAAAGTGAAGTGTACATGAGGTTAGAGCACAGTTTCACTAAAACATTGTTAACATGTGTGTAAAATCCCTCAGTTGTCCAGGTAGAAGCTACGGCAAAAGGAGAATTTAAATTTGTTTGTGGGTTTTTCGTTTTTCTTCATACAAATTTGCTAAAATCACCGTGATATCAGCAGCGGTGAAACGGTAAAGTTATGGTTCTGAGTGTCGGGGCGGGCCTGGAGGTGTGCCGGCGTAGATCGTCGGGTGACCGCGGGTGAAAGGACCGGCGCAGAACTCCACGCCCATAAGCGCAGCCGACGTCTGATTGAGCTTTGTGGAAACTCTGCTCCATGGCTTCTGGGTTCTGTCAAGGGTGCGCCTAGATAACAAGTCCTAGTCCAAGATTAGTCCTTGTTTGGACCTGGTTTAGTCCTGGTTCAGTCCTGGTTTAGACCTGATTTAGACCTGGTTCAGTCCTGGTTTAGTCCTCAGTTCTGTCCTCGGGTCAGTCCTCGGTTCAGTCCCAGTTTAGACCTGATTTAGTCCTGGTTTAGTCCTGGTTCAGTCCTGGTTTAGTCCTGGTTCAGTCCTGGTTCAGTCCTGGTCAGTCCTGGTTCAGTCCTGGTTCAGTCCTGGTTTAATCCGTATATGGTTCGGTATCTTCGCTCGCTAATTGTTATTTGATGATCAGTGACAGTTTTTTTTTTTTGAGAGATAAATGTGCTGTAATAATTGTGTAATGTTTTACTTTTTAAACACAGTAATATTGTAATGTAAAGAAAAATTTGAAATGACAGTAACATTTACAGTTTTGAAGTAATTTGCCCAACAGTGCTTATATCTGCCTGCAGGGGGAGCTAACTACACTGAAACTGCTCTCGCCATGCAAGCATCATCATTCATAATTTTCCAGGAGAAGCCATGTATGACTAGTCTGATTCATCAGCCGGTTTCACTCCGTGGAAACCGTCTGACCTCTCTCGACGGTAGGCAGGTACTTTTTTTATTTAACCAATCGCTGCTGTTTGGTCGTGATGTATGTAATGCACAATAACGTCTTTCCCCTTGATAAAATTTACCAAACATTCTCTTTGTTCCGGCTTTAAATCCTTGATCTCGGGAATCGTTGCCATCACAGAATGTCTGTCTTCATCTACATCCATCTCGACGCTTTGTTTACTGTGGTGCTGTTCCACAAAAGGAACACAGACAGACGCCATGAGTTTGACGTCATGACTTCACAACTCTTCCCTGAACTTCTGGGGTTCTTGCAAATCGTCTAGTGTATTCTGATTCCTGACCTAGTCGCTGGAGAGAAATGAAATTGAGCGGAGGCACTAGGTGGTATGACCCCACTGCAATGACAAATGTGTAGGTATTTTACTTCACACTGTATCTAAATTATTTGCTATGTATCACTAAGCAACTCCGAAGTAGCCTGTGCCAAGAGCCCAGCAAAGTTAATCAATTCCCGGCCAGGGCCAGCAGACCGGATGCACCGCAGAGCAAAGGTCTTCATCCCCCGTTTGGACTAAACCAGCTCCAGAGTAACAGAGACAGAGTAACGTAGATGGACTTTGCACGTCATCGTTCATGTGGTATTTGTCATTATGACTTTAAAACTCATAATTATGACTTGAAAATTTGTGATTATGACATTAACACTTGAAATTATGAGTTTAAAATGTGTAGTTATGACTTTAAAACTCATAATTATGACCTGAAAATTTGTGTTTGTGACTTTATGACTTGAAAATTTGTGATGATGACTTTAAAACTCGTAATTATGACTTGAACATTTGTGATTATGATGTTAAAACTTGAAATTATGAGTTTAAAATTTGTGATTATGATTTTAAAACTTGTAATTATGACTTTAAAACTCGTAATTATGACTTAAAAATTTGTGATTATGAGTTTAAAATGACAAAACTCATAATTACAAGTTTTTCTTTTCATAATTTGTTTATCTGCAGAGATGGGCCTCCAAACAAATTGATATCTGTACATTTAAGATTTTGTTTTGTTTGCACCTCTTTGCCTCATTCTTCTGCAGAAAGAGTTTTGAACGATTGTAAAAACAAACCTTACCTCCCACAGAGACGTGTGCAGGCTTCTGAGGTTGAGCTGCAGCAGGTTTCCAAACACGGGCAGCGGTCGAGGTCCAGGAGGCTCATTCTCCGCCGGGTTTGAGGAAATAAAATAGACGACGAGCAGAAATAAAACGAATCCGAGAACAGAGACGGGACTGAAGAGCGAAAGAACGAAGAAGAAGAACTCTGACAAGACCCCCATGATTCTGTGAGAGAGAGAGAAAGAGAGAGTGTGCGCTGAGAAAGAGAGGGAGAGACAGAAAAGAGAGAAGAGAGAGAGAGAGGGAGGAACAAAAGGAGAGGGAGGCGGGGCAAAGAGGAGAGAGAGAGAGAGACGGAAGAGAGGGAGAAGGCTGGGAAGGGGGAGAGAGCGAGAGACGAAGGGGAAGAGAGGCAGTGGAGAAAGAGAGATGGAGGGGAAGAGGAGAGAGAGGGACAGAGGGGACAGACAGATTAGAGGGGGAAAGAGTGAGAGAGAGACTGTGGGGAGAGAAAGAGAGAGAGACAGACAGTGGAGAAGAGAGAGAGGCAGAGGAGAGAGAGGGATGGAGGGGAAGAGAGAGAGAGACGAGGAGAGAAGACAGAGAGAGAGAGAGAGAGAGAGACAGAGAAGACAGAGAAGAGAGAGAGAGAGAGAGAGAGAGAGACAGAGGAAAGAGAGAGACAGAGGAAAGAGAGAGAGGCAGAGGTGAGAGAAAGGGGGTGAGAGAGAGACAGATAGAAAGAGAGATGGCGAGAAGAGAAGGAGACAGAGAGAGAGAGGCAGAGGAGAGAGAGAGAGAGACAGAGGAGAAGGAGAAAAAGAGGCAGAGGAGAGAAAGGGATGGAGGGGAAGAGAGAGACAGAGGAAGAAGAGAGAGGGACAGAGGAAGAGCGAGAGAGACAGTGGGGAGATAGAGAGACAGAGGAAAGAGAGAGACAGAAGAAAGAGACAGAGAAACAGAGGAGAGAGAGAGAGACAGAGAAGAAAGAGCGAGACGGATGAGAGAGAGAGACAGACAGATGAGAGAGAGAGAGACAGAGAAGAAAGAGAGAGACAGAGGGGAAAGAGAGAGAGAGACAGACAGGAAAGAGAGAGAGAAACAGAGAGGAAGAGAGACAGAGGAGAGAGAGACAGATGAGAGAGACAGAGAGAGAGAGAGAGACAGATGAGAGAGAGAGAGACAGATGAGAGAGAGACAGACAGGGGAAGGAGAAAAAGAGGCAGAGGAGAGAAAGGGATGGAGGGGAAGAGAGAGAGAGATGGGAAGAAGAGAGAGAGAGACAGAGGAAGAAGAGAGAGGGTCAGAGGAAGAGTGAGAGAGACAGTGGGGAGATAGAGAGACAGAGGAAAGAGAGAGAAACAGAGGAGAGAGAGAGAGAGAGAAGAAAGAGCGAGACGGATGAGAGAGAGAGAGACAGAGGGGAAAGAGAGAGAGAGACAGAGAGGAAGAGAGACAGAGGAGAGAGAGACAGACAGGGGAAGGAGAAAAAGTGGCAGAGGAGAGAAAGGGATGGAGGGGAAGAGAGAGAGAGATGGGAAGAAGAGAGAGAGAGACAGAGGAAGAGAAGGAGAGAGGGGAAGAGAGAGACAAGGGGAGAGAGAGAGACAGAAGAAAGAGACAGAGAGAGGGGAAGAGAGAGACAGAGGACAGAAAGAGACAGAAGAAAGAGAGAGAGAAACAGAGGGAGAGAGAGAGAGAGAGAGAGAGAGAGAGAGAGAGAGAGGAAAAAACATTAGAACACAGATCAGAAAATATTATAACATTGTCCCTTTAAGTTGCAGCTGTAGTTTTTGAGCTTTTAGAACAAGAGTCAAAGTTTAGAGACGTGTTTGCAGTCGATGTTTGATTAAGTTTTATTGACCTGATCTGACCTGATGTGACCTTAGACACACATTTGGAGTGACACTGAGTTAAAGTTTAAAGGTGCACTGCCCAGACCGGTCCCTTTGTCTTGTGACACACATTCTGAGTTATAATTGTTTATAGTTGAAAGGTGCATTGACTTGACTGATTCTCTCGACCTCTGACACAGATTCTGAGTTATAATTGTTTATAGTTTATAGGTGACTGACCACACCGGTCCTTTTGTCTTGTGACGCAGATTCTGAGTTTTAATTATTTATAGTTGAAAGGTGCATTGACTTGACTGATTCTCTCGACCTCTGACACACATTCGGAGTTATACTGGTTTATAACTGGTTTATAGTTTAAAGGTGCGTTGAACTGTTGTTGTTGTTTTTGTTGCTTTGTCTGGAATGTTCCACAGTTTAAATCAGCGGTGTCAAACTCATTTTCACCGAGGGCCACATTTGGATCATGTTTGTGATTATAGACTTTAAAACTTTAAAAAACTCTCATATGATTTTCCTTTAAAATGAATAATTATGACTTGAAATTTGTGTTTGACTTTTTATGACTTTTATTATGACTTGTAAATTAAAATGACTTGAAAATGTGTTTATGACTTGTAATTATGACTTTTAAATGACTTGTAATTAATGACTTGAAAACTTTGTGTTTTATGACTTTTTAAATGACTCGTAAGTATGACTTGAAAATGTATGATTAAACTGTACTTTTTAAAAATTAATTGACTTGAAAATTATGACTTTGTTTATTTATTTATTTATTATTTTTATTTATGTATTTATTTTTAGTAGTTTTTATTAATTCATTCATTTTTATAAAAATTTAAAACTTTGTTCTCATATTTATTTATTTATATTATTTAATTTATTTTATTTTTATTTTGTTTCATTTCTTTGTATTTCTTTTTAATTTAATTTAATTTATTTTTATTTGTAAATTTATTTTTATTTGTATTAGTTTTATTAATAAAATTTGTTATTAAAATTTTAAACTTGCAGAATTTTTTTTCTCATATATACACTCACACACACACACACAAACACACACACACACACACACACACACACACACACACACACACACACACACACACACACACACTGGAATTCCAAGAGGTTTCGAAACACAAATAATTAAATAATAATTCTTATCTTATCTTTAATCCCAGATGATTTCATGAAATTGTTCTATACCAGGGGTGGGCAAACTACGGCCCGGGGGCCGTATGTGGCCCTTTAAAGCTTTTAATCCAGCCCGCTGAACTGGAATAAATGACAATAATAAACCTTGTTGATGTTTTATTTTTCCTACATTTCCGGCGTTTCCCAGTAGATGGCGCACTATATATACATTAAGGTGCGGCGTATTATGTTGGCCGCAATGCTTTATGGGAAAGTGTTCTTACAGGAGTTATTCGGACCATGAGTGAAGTAGTTGGTGTTCAAGATATAAGTCTGCACTGCTTCCTCATTAATTAAGTAAAAATCAAACATAAAAATTTTAGTGTCTCTGAGTTGTAAAGCTCAATGTATATGACTTCGAAGAGTCTGGTTTAGCTGCCCTTGTGGGTATGTGAGCCTTGATATTGAGCTGTTGTCTGTCAGATTTTTAAAACTTTAAACTCATGGTTTTTGTTTATCTGTGGTGTGAAGTGGAACAGATACGTATACTTCCATGTGTTCTGAATCTGTGGAGGCATGTAGTGCGATGCAGAAGTTCTACATTAAACGTGAATATGAATGTAATGAAGCTGAGCTCTTGACACGTCATGATTTTTCCGGCCCTTCAGTCAAACTTCAGGACCTACGTGGCCCGCGAGCCACTCAGCTGCGTTATATTTTTTTGCTTAACAACAATGTCCTGTAAAATTCAGAACATATTGAAGATGCAGATATTTTTCCACAGCACATCACTGGTTGCAGTGTCCGTGTGTGTAGTATGTTTCATTGACAAACAATATCATCACCATATAATCACACTTACCTACATGTGTACTACAGCAAGACTATTCAGACATGCCATACCTTGTCAACTCACAAGGCCACATTTTTTTAATTTTAACCTTTGATTTTTACAGCAATGATTAAGAAGCAGTGCAGCCTTATATCTTGAACACCCCTACTTCACTCATGGTCCGAATAACTCCTGTAAGCACACTTTCCCATAAAGCATTGCGGCCAACATAATACGCCGTACCCAAGCCCCCAGGTTCCAAAATGGCCGCCCATTCAAGTCAATGGGCTGAGCTCAATGGCGCATGATCCCAGATTAGCCTAGCCCGGCTAGGGACTTCCGGGGGCCGCGGGCCGACCGAGCATGCGCAGTAGTGCTCTTTTCTCCCACGGGCACACGCGAATGCACGCGACCACACGCACGGAGCGCGGGCTCGTGTATCACGTGATCGCTTTGACCAATCAGAGCGAAAGGAACGAGAGCGGAGCAGAGCGGAGCCGGAGCTAACGAATATAAAGCGTTTTTTTAAGACAACTGAAGGATTTTGAGCGAGAAAACGTTTATGATCTAAAAATAGGTAAAAATCGCCACAAAATCCGACATTTTTGAAAGTTGTAGGTGCCCTGTCAGCCGAACACGAGCAGGTTGTGATTACATTGCCTCTATGAGAAAAATCTTCTCTCGGCCCATGGGATTTTTTCGACTGTAGAACCACTGAGTGACACTACGTCAACTCGAGGCAGCTACAAGCAGCAATACTGTATCCAGTTATTTTAATAGATCCATGGCCGTACCTCTGTGTGTGTGCGTGCGTGTGTATATAAGTGCGCCATCTACTGGGAAACGCCGGAAATGCATGAAAAATAAAACATCAACAAGGTTTATTATTGTCATTTATTCCAGTTCAGCGGGCTGGATTAAAAGCTTTAAAGGGCCGCATATGGCCCCCGGGCCGTAGTTTGCCCATCCCTGTTCTATACTCTGTGTTTGTTATGGTCTTTCTCTGAATTAAATCTTTACAGTGTTGATTTTCTGTGCACTTTAACCTTTATTTGTGTTGTGAGATTAAACTGAGACATTTGAAGATGTTCTCAGTTTTGTTACTTAAGTAAAAGTACAGATACAGGAGCAAGAAAATACTTAAAGGTCACTGCAGAGCTTTAGCTCGACTTTACATTTATTCAGTTACAGGTGGCTAAGTAAAAGTATTAAAGTACCTGTTTAAAAATGAACTTAAAGAGTAAAAAGTAAAATTATCAAATGAATAAATCTACTTAAGTAAAAGTATTAAAGTTAGGGGTGTCAAATTATCGCGTTAATTGCGATTAATTAATTACAGTCATATTTAGCGCGTTATGTTTTTTAATCGCGTTAATCTCATTTTTAATCTCTAACTTTACTGTTTCTGTATGTGAGTTGCTTTATTATAAAACCTGTTTTTATGTGTTGTTGGGACAACAACACACACACAAAAAACAGTCATGTAAACGCACAAAATGGACGAGGTTGAAGAGCCAGTAGAACAGAAGCAGCTGTGCACAGGGAAAAACACATTCGTGTCTTGGAAATTATTCTCCCGACGTGAAATATAAAAGAAAATAACAAATATAAAATCACCTACAACTTAAATGTCACTGGTGAAAACAACCTGCATAGACTCATGATGTCTGCACTACTGTCCTATACACACACACACACAAACACAAACAAACACAAACACACACAAACACAAACACACACAAACACACAAACACACAAACACACACAAACACACACACACAAACACACAAACACACACAAACACACACACACACAACACACACAAACACAACACACAAACACACACAAACACAAACACACACACACAAACACACACACAAACACACACAAACACAAACACACACACAACACAAACACACACAAACAAACACAAACACACACAAACACAAACACACAAACACAAACACACACACACAAACACACAACAAACACAACAACACACACACAACACACACAACACAACAACACACACAAACACACACACAAACACACACAAACACACACCTTCATCATCGTCATTAACCTGAGAACGCGTGGACCACGTTTCCTTCCGTAGTTACTGCGTGGACACCGACCTGCTCCCGTGAGCCGCGTGTGGATCGTGTTTTCTCGCGTACGCGGCGTAAACCGCGCTTCCTCCTGTGAGCCTCTAAACCAGAACTAACACCAAGACTAAAACCAGGACTAACCCAGTCCAGGACTAAACCAGGTCTAAACCAGGTCTAAACCAGGACTACACCAGAAATAACACCAGAACTAAAACCAGAACTAAATCCAGGTCTAAACCAGGACTAAACCAGGACTAAACCAGGTCTAAACCAGGACTAAACCAGAGCTAAAACCAGAACTAAAACCAGAACTAAAACCAGGTCTAAACCAGGACTAAACCAGGACTAAACCAGGACTAAACCAGAACTAAAAACCAGGTCTAAATCAAGTCTAAACCAGGACTAAACCAGAACTAACACCAGGACTAAAACAGGATTAATCCATTCCAGGACTAAACTAGGACTAAACTAGGACTAAAGCAGGTCTAAACCAGGACTAAACCAGGACTAAAACCAGTGATCTCATATATAAAGCATTTCTCTATCAATAATATTTTTAATATGGTTAAGGAAAGACTGGACTTTTTATTGTCTTTAAGTAAACAAAAGTTATTATGTTCAGATTTCCTCGTCTTTGCTACTTTACAGCAAACAGTTTCTTATTCATGGAGACTTGGGCTCAACAACCAATTTGGAGAGATTTGTTAAACAATAAATGACTTTATAAAGTCACTTTTTTTAATCTATATCAGTCTTTTGATCTGCCACAATAATGTAATTTAAATGAAAATACCTCAAATTGAAGGCTTTTCTCAGCAATTTTTAGGTGAGATTAAAATGAGATTAATTAGATTAATTAATTACAGATCATAATTAATTAATCTCTCAATTTTTTTAATCGCATGACAGCACTAATTAAAGTACCTTTTCAAAAATGAACTTAAAGAGTAAAAAGTAAAAGTATCTCAAAAAGATTTTGAGGTCTAATAAAGCTTCAAATGTCGTGATTTTCAGACATATTTATTCAGAATTTAGTTTAACAGAAACTATTTCATCAATATGTTTTTCCTTGCTGTTTTTATTTTTGTGTTTTTGTGTTTGCTCAAACTACAAATGTGTTAAAAATAAACCCTGTTCAAAAATGTAGTGCAGTAGAAAGTACAGATACCTGCTCTCAACTGTAGTGAAGTAAAAGTAACAGTACTTTACTACTTTTACTTTGTTTCCTTTGTTTGTGTTTCTCAGAAGAGCGAGTGTGTGCAGAGGTCAGACCTGATCACGAGTTTAATTAATAACTGACCCACAGAATCTTTTGTCAATAGTAAAGAGTGAAGGAACACCAAAAAGTACATGTAGTACAAGAAGAACATGTAGTACAAGAAGAACATGTCGTGCTTTTTAAAGTCCACACACTTTCACTAAAATCATTTGTTACATATTAAAATGTTTCAGTGAAGCAACCTGACCTAGACCTGGTTTAGACCTGGTGTAGACCTAGTTTAGACCTGGTTTAGTCCTGATTTATTCCTGGTTTTAGTCCTGGTTTAGACCTGGTTTAGACCTGGTTTTATCAAAGCCTCAGTTCCACCAAAGTGACTGACCAGACGTGACTTGAGAAATGAGTTTATTTCTGCAGTTTCACGATTAAAAAACATTTTGTGTCCACTGAAAAACCAAAAAAAAAAAAAAAAAAAGAACAGAAAAATAACAAAAAGTTTTCCACAAATACTAAGAAAAGTCTCCATGATACATATTGACCCCAAAATGACTTTTCCATCAGTGTCGTTGGAGAGGCCCAAGCCCAAAACTCACACCTGCTGGAAAAGAGTCGAGAAAAAACGAGGCGAGAGAAGCATTTTTTATTTTTTTATTTTTTTTCCTCAGATGGCTGTAGATATTTGTCGTTGCTCAGGTGTCGGGTTCAGTCCAGAGACACGGCGCACAGGGGCTGGGGCTTGGGTCTCGTGATGAAACCAGGCGTCGGGGTCACGTCCAGTTCCTCCTCGGTGACACCAGGGGGCGCAGTGAAGCGGAAACGCTGCATCAGAGTCACGCAGAAGGTGAACAGCTCGATCCTGGCCAGACCTTCTCCGGGACACATCCTGAAACCTGGAAAAGGGAACGACACGGAGTCATCACCTCAAAGAAAGTCCAACTCAGGAGTCTGACCTGGTTTAGACCTGGTTTAGACCTGGTTTAGACCTGGTTTGGACCTGGTTTGGACCTGGTTTGGACCTGGTTTGGACCTGGTTTGGACCTGGTGTACACCTGGTTTAGACCTGGTTTAAACCTGGTGTAGACCTGGTTTAGACCTGGTTCAGACCTGGTTGAGTCCTGGTGTAGACCTGGTGTAGACCTGGTTTAGATCTGGCATAGACCTAGTTTGGACCTGGTGTATACATGGTTTAGACCTGGTTTAGACCTAGTGGAGACCTAGTGTAGACTTGGTTTAGACCTGGTTTGGACCTAGTTTGGACCTGGTGTAGACCTGGTGTAGACATGGTGTAGATCTGGTTTAGACCTGGTTTAGACCTGGTTTAGACCTGGTTTAGACTTTGCGTAGACCTAGTGTAGACTTGGTTTAGACTTGGTTTAGTTCTGGTTTAGTCCTGGTTTAGTTCTGGTTTAGTCCTGGTTTAGTTCTGGTTTAGTTCTGTCTTAGTTCTGGTTTAGTCCTGGTTTAGTTCTGGTGTAGACCTGGTGTAGACCTGGTGTAGACCTGGTTTAGACCTGGTTTTAGACCTGTTTTAGATCTGGTTTAGACTTGGTTTAGATCTATACAACACACTTTAATGTCCTCGTACAGAAATGTGTCCTCTGCATCACTCAGAAAAGCCCAGGAGTGGAACCCAGAACCTTCTCGCTGTGAGTCTGTACCTGCAGAGAAGGGCAGGAAGGCGTCTCTCTTCCTGAAGGTTCCGTCGTTGTGGAGGAAGTGAGCGGGATGGAAACTGTGAGGCTTTTCCCACTCGCTCTCGTTGAAGAGGATGGAGCTGAGGTGCGGCCAGACCGTGGTCCCCTGGAAACACACGACACGGGAATAATCAGGGATGTTCTGGTCCGATCCTGGTCTTCACAGAGATTTAAAGGGACCATCTCATACAAAATAACTCTTTTCACATTGTATCTTCTGCACATAAACAAGCACAATTTGGGTTTTGGAACATCCATTACACAATAGTTCTGAAATCTTACTGATTTGTTGGAGTCAGTCACAAACCAGGAACTATGAAAGTCCGACTATTGCTCCTCCCCCCGCCCGTCCTGAGAAAGCACAGGCTCCGCCCTCCAAACGTGACGTAGGCTCTGAGTGAGCCGCCCTTCCTCCGCCATCTCAGGGAGGGAGGGGGAGACAGACGTGACCCTGATAGAGGCAGGAATAAACTTTTATTCATCATGGAGATACAGCGCGTTCAGCCGCATGTGTTGGACCCGGAATCGGACGAGGACTTTGAGGAGCACGAAGCTCAAGCACCACGTCCACATCAGCTGAACATTACTGATTGGTAAAGTATTAATAAACACTAATAGATCAACTTATTATATCGTGTTCACTGCAGTGTAGAACAATGAGCTTCTGCTGTCGCTTTTGTTTAGGATGTTCATGTGGGAACTGTCAGTCGATGCCCATAGAAACAGAGAACGTTTGCTGCCAGGAAATTCTGAAGGTAATATTTTATATTGTCTTGAAATATAAATATTATTACTGACGGCGGGGTGGAGGCGGTGGAGGCGGTGGAGCGGGGGAGGGGGCGGCTGCGTCACAGGTGTATCTGCCGCGTCATCGTTGTAGCAGCTTTAGTTCGTTGTCACGTAGGAGGGTGGCAGAAATACGTTGTAATTTGTTAAAAAAAACACAGAATCAATCTAAAAAACACTTCGGCGACAAATACAAGGCCCACACATCACTCTTAGAAGGTAGAAAGCTCTGAAAAGTTGATTTTACATGAGATGAGCCCTTTAACAGAGACTTTAAACAGGGACAAATCAGGTGGAGAAGAAAAGCCGAACTGCAGGTGTAGTCCGGGACACGTACAGGTCCTGCAAGACTTAGAAAGTTACACAAAATGTCACACAAAATGAAGTAATTGTGTTCGACCAGCCCTGGGTGCAAGAACAAAGTCCTTATGTTCTTATGAAGTATGAATAGACCTTCAGTTGGTACAACAGGTCTCTCAAGTAACATTACATTTTTTTGTTGAAAATCTAACTCCTAAACAGGACCATGGACATTGTTTTGATCGCAGACTCCTGAAAATGTGCTGTTTAAATCTGCTTTGTATTTTTTCTTCTACTACTACTGAGTGCATTGTGTCCATGGTAACTGCTGAACACTGAACCATAAAGAAACATGTAGCGTGATGTCTGCAGTATCAGCTCATGTTTCTGTTCTTGCCTTTTTGATGAAGTAGCCCTTGAAGTTGATGTCTTGGGTGGTTCTGCGGCCGATGCCCATGGGAGCGAAGTTGGCATATCTCAGAGTCTCGTGAATTACTGCGACCGTGAAGGGCAGGTCCGCTCGGTCCTCCATCCGAACCTGACGACTCCCGATCACTCTGAAGATCTCCTCACGAACCTGGTCTGAAACAAAACCAGAAAACAGTGACAAACCAGGACAGGTTTTCCATCAAAGTGGGTTAACAATTACAAATGATGATTATTATTATTAAATAAAATTATGATAATTATCTGAAAGGAATTTAAATTTTCAAAAAACCCAGGTTCAGAACAACAACAATGGAAAAAATGTGTTTCAATCAAAGGTGCTGGCCTAGTAGTAGTTCATTTGGTCATTTTGCAGCACTACAAAACAAAACATAGACTACAACCCCATGGATCATGATCAAAATCGTTTACACTGAAGTAAAAAGTACTTATAATGTCCAACTCTATGAAACAATGACAGAATTCCAAGAAAGAAAAGCAGCACATGAACAGCAAGTTTGCATTTAATTTGATCAATGTGAGGTTTCCAACTTTAAGCTTGAACTGTTGTTTGAACATTGGTAATTGCACCGTCACCCTGCATGTGCAGACTTACCCTGTATGTGTGAGTATTTGGCCATCAGGAGCAGCAGCCACGTCAGGACCGTGGAGGTCGACTGTGTGCCCACGAGCAACGACATGACCGAGTGCACCAGGTTCTCCTCGGTGAACACGCCGTCCGTCGCTCCAGACTCCTGAACACCAAACGTTTATTCATAAATAATGAAAGGAACAAGAGGAACGAGAGGTGGAGGCTCTGTCAAACGCTTTTCTTTTTCTTCTCTTTTAAAGTGCTTTCATAAATGATTTTTGCAACGGCAAATAATTTCCAACTTCATACAGGTCTTATTGAGGCGACTTTTAACATCAGTTACATCAGTAGGTCACCAGCCTGGATGGACCTGCCTGCCTCTGATATTAGTTTTTCTCGTACGCAGACACCTGTCAATCACACTCAGACTCACATCATCTTAAAGTTTTGGAGAAGTTTGTGTTCTGACGCCGTCTGTTTTATTCTCTGTTTATTCTCCGTGTCGTGTGTGTCTCACCTGCAGCTGCGTCTGTTTGACCATGAAGGCGTCGACGAAGCCTCTGCACTTCTGTGGGTTCAGCGTCTCTCTCAGACGTTTGAACATCACCAGGTTTTCTTCTCTGAACGTGTCCATGATCGTCAGAATCTGTTCCCTGACGGAGCGCGCGACCCAGCGGCCCATCCACGAGAACAGGTTATAAATCTGAAAAGACCAGCAGCTATTAAAACCTCTCACAACAGGACGGGTAGAAGTAGAAGTTGTAGTAGTAATAATAATAATAATAATAATAATAATAGTATCAGTAATAGGTAAGCTTAAGATAAACTTTATTGTCCCTGTAGGGCAGGCATGTCCAAACCATGGCCCGTGGGCCAAATGTGGCCCTCGGACAAATTTTTCTAGGTGACTTGGCCCAAATGACCTTACATCAATTAAAAACTAACTTTTTTACTGCAAGTTTTTTGAAAATCTACTTTGATAAAGCTCATATTGAATATTTAGTGTGTGGTTTTGAAGATTCTAGCATGAATAAAGACTGATGGCTCATTCTGATGTGTTAATGGGGGAAACTGGAGAGCACAGACACAGAGTTCATTACAAACACAGAGATGTGTTAGAATGCAAACGCCCGGGAGGACGTCTGTTCTGATGTCTCCTGGGCGTCTCCCTCTGGACGTGTTCATGTCCCACTGTGAGGAGGCCCCGGGGAAGACCCAGGACACACTGGAGGGACTATGTCTCTGGGCTGGCCTGGGAACACCTCGGGGTCCCCCCAGAGGAGCTGGAGGAAGTGTCCCACCTTGACGGAGGGGCTGCCGGACAGGAGCGTGCGCTGGTACAGCTGGTCGATCATGGTGCAGTACTGAGGGTCGTCGTACTGGAAGCGAGCGCCGTAAACCACAGAGCAGATCACGTTTGATGTGGCGTAGTTCAGAGTCTGGAAAGTGTCAAACGCTTCTCCTGAAAAACAAGAACTGCAGGATTACTTTTATAATTCCAAAGTGTGATTTGAACTTTCTGTTTCCATGGAAACGTGCAGGTGATGTCCCACAAACAGAAAGTTACAGGGTGTTGCTTTAAGTAAAGCAGGAAGGTGCTAAACACAAAAAGTGGAAGAATGTCTATCAAGGTACTACTACTACAACTACTACTACTAAAACTACTACAACTACTACTACTGCTACTATTACTACTGCTACTGCTACTACAACAACAACTGTTAGTACTACTACAACTCCTACTACTACAACAACTACTACTCCTCCCTCTGTTAGAGTAAAGTTTGTTCACCGTTGAGTTTTTTCAGGGCGTTGGTCAGATGTTCGCTCTCCTCTGAGATCTTCTGCTTCAGGTCTTCCACATTAAACGAGTCTTTCAGGAACAAGCTCCTCATCTCCCTGGACGTGTCTCCGTTGGACCAGGTGATGCCTTCAAAACACAAGACCACCATCATCATCACCATCATCTCCATCATCATCATCCTCATCATCAAACCGTCGGCGCCGTACCGTGTCCCTGGACGGTCTCCTCCATCATCACGGTCGGCGTTCTTCCTCCAAACGCCTCGGAGTGTTCCACCAGAGCCTCCTTCACCGTCTCGTACCCGACCAGCACCACCCACTTCTCCGCGCCCAGGAACGTCGTGAACACCGTCCCGTACTCCGCCGAGAGCTGGAACACAAACACATTTTATTTAGATGTTTCATTTTCTGAACTTCTCCTCTGCTCCTATGAACTTCTTCTCTGTTCCTCTGACCTTCTCCTTTGCTTTTCTGATCCTCTCCTCTGTTCCTCAGCTCCTCTGACCTTCTCCTCTGTTCCTTTGACCTCCTCCTCGTTTCCTCTGACCTTCTCCTCTGCTCCTTTGACTTCTCCTCTGCTCCTCTGACCTTCTCCTCTGCTCCTCTGACCTTCTCTCTCTGCCTCCTCTGACTTCTCCTCTGCTCTCTGACCTTCTCTCTGCTTCTCTGACCTCCTCTGACTCTCTCTCTGCTCCTCTGACCTTCTCCTCTACTCCTTTGACCTTCTCCTCTGCTCCTCTGACCTTCTCCTCTGCTCCTCTGACCTTCTCCTCTGCTCCTCTGCTCTGGTTTCTGAGGACATGAGCTCTCTCTGCTGTTCAAACATCAGCGCAGCTCTCTGACTGAAACGTCCCCTGAGGAGGTTGAACTTGTTCATCAGGTCGACCCGCTCGTCTCTCCTCGCCTCACTCTTCTGTCAGCTTTGAACTTTAGTCAAAATAATGACGCACTGTGAAACTTCCATGGAAATGTGACTGAGATGCCTCAAATTTGACTTGTGGCTTTTAACACTGCAGGACTTGTGGGATCCTCTGAGTCTTTTATTTATTTATTCTTTTTTTTTTTTTTTATATATATATTTAAATAAATGTTATACATTTTTTTGTATTATTTTTAAATAATTATTTTTAGTTTATATATATATATATATTTAGTCCTGCCTTTATTTATTTATTTTATTAATTTTGTTCATTGATTTTATTATTATTTTTCTAATCTATTGATTCTATTAGTTCTTTTTGTTTGGAACAGAATTCTGCTGACGTTTTTTTTTCTTGTTTATAAAATGTGCCGTACAAATAAAGTTGGATTAGATTGGACAACATGACTTAAGAAAAAAAAGAAAATATTTAAAGCCTTTATGTAATGCAAGGAACGCAAGCTCAAAGTTGCATACTACAGGACCTTTAATGAGAAAAAAACTTGCGGCTGAAGAGTTGTAAAAAAGCATGAATTGTTTTTTTTTTAGGGCTGGGCAAAAATACAAAATCTTAATCGCATTAATCGTATGAGTTCCTGTGATTAATCACGATTAATCACATGTTATATGCAAAACCAATTAAAGAATTCAAAAGTAGCATAAAGTGCACTTTTATTGGAAATGTAAATGAAAGAGCCACATTTGTTTTTCTTTCTACAGGAGCAGGAAACGAGTCTGTAAAGTCCATGTTTATTCTTCTTCCTTTGGAGAATCTTACTCAAAAAAAATAAACAATTTCAGTGCAGTTTGTCAATTCCTAAAGTTTAACTTAATGAACTGAATTCAAAAGTAAAGTGCAAGGGGGTAGCCAGGCTGGCGCCACTTAATTTCATTTCTCTCCAGAGACTAGATCAGGAATCAGAATACACTAGACGGTTCGCAAAAACCCCAGCAGTGTGAGTTCGGGCACCAGCCAATCAGTGAAGAGCCACATATTCAGTGTTGTCAACGATTCCTGAGATCGAGGATTTAAAGCCGAAACAAAGACAATGTTTGGTGAATTTTATCAAGGGGAAAGACGTTATTGTCCTTTTTCCTACGGGATTTGGGAAAAGCTTAATATACCAGTTAGTCCCATTACATACATCACAACCAAACAGCAGCGATTGATTAAATAAAAAAGTACCCGTCTACCGTCGAGCGAACGAATCCTAATGCTGCGAGGTCAGGAGGGTTTCTACAAAGTGAAACCAACTGATGAATCAGGCTACAAGGGGGGTGCTGCAAGTCATGAAATCTGCAGCTGAAAACGGAAATCGAGCTACAGAAAAAGTTTGGAGTGAGCGAGAAACTTGTGACACCGGGAGGATGCACCATGAAACTTTCCTGAAGTCACTGGATGGATGGACAAAGCCTGGACTTCAGTGACACCGAAACCATCCTGTCGGGATTCAGAAAGACCCGAATAATTCTAACTGGAAGCGGCGCTCTGTTTAGAAAAGTAAAGTGCATGTGATCAGCAGCGGTAAAATAAAGTGTTCAGTGTAAATCTCAACTGAACAAATCAAAGCAAAGCAAATACAAAACTGAAACGTATTTCCACTGCCAGGGCTTTAATGTTTCCTGTTTCTTTTTTTATCACTTTATTTTTATTGTATTTGACGGGTTTGTAATGTTTCCTGTTTCAGATAAAAATAAGAAACTCAAAAATAGTAAAAAACAGAACGCACAACCAGAAAAGATTTTAGTGCAGTTTGTCAATTCCTACAACTTTTATTTTTTACTTTTCTGAACAAAACAAGTTGCTCCTTTGTGGATCAGTAAAGTTTGTGTAAGTCCAAGTCTAGTCTTGTTTTCCTCTTTAGTGTTTGTGCGTTTACCTCGTGTTGTCTAAACTTGTGTAAAGTGCGTGGTTGTGTTTGGGAGAGGCGTGCCGCGACACGACTCTGCACAATCATCACCAGGACCTCACGCTCCAGGCAAAAACTGCGAGCCTGACCCAGTTTAAGACCAACACTTAGACCAGGGGTGGGCAGTTACTTTTTCCATGGGGCCACATGAGAAACAGAAAATATTATAGAGGGCGCAATTCTGTATACCATTTTTTTCAGACCATAAGTGTCACTTTTTCATGGTTTGGGTGTTTCCTGTGACTAAAGCTGCATTCAGACTGCAGCCTGAAGTGACCCAAATCTGATTTTTTGGCCCCTATATGACCTGTATCTGATCTTTTAATTCGACCCAGGCCACTTGGATATGTGCTCCTGAAACCGATACATATCTGATCTTTTGACATGCGACTTCAATCTGAACAGCCAAAGTGCATTCATCCGACCTACACGTTATCAACAAGCGGCAAACATCACTATTCTGCGCTGAAGTCGGCGAAAATTGTTAATGAACTCCGTGTCACTGAAGTGAAGCACATCACCACTCACCACTCTTGGCTCCGTCTCCACATCCACACGTTCCTTTCAGCGGATGTCGCTGCCCAACAAAACACCACGGCCAAAATCCTCGTCCTTCTCCTTCTCAATCTCCTCCTTAAAACAAGTAAGTTGTTCATGTTCTGGCTCCGGTACGAGAGGAACTTTAAAATCTCCAGGTGCTCGATGCTGCGTCCATGTTTGGACAACTTCCGTAAACACAGAGCACGCTCGCTGCGGTTGACGTCGTCGTGTCTCCAGTGCACATGCGGGACACTTTCAGACTGTTTACAGTTCAAACTGGAGTCACATACAAGTCGCATTTAATTGGAAATGTGAACAACTTTACAAAAACATCGGATTTCACAAAAAAACTGGAACTGAGCGTTAAGCCCTGCCGTTCGAACATAGCCTTATTCTCCGGTGTGACTTCTATATTAAAATGTTTTTCATGAAGTGTGGAGAGGTTCTAGTCTTGTGTGTGAGTATCTGCTGCTGTTCCTCCTGTACCACTGTCACTTGGCTCTACTGCGCATGTCTCCTGCAGAAAGAGCCTCTGTCCTGTCTGTATCATGTCAGTCGATCGCACCATTACTTCTGCACCGCTTAACAATTTAACATTTAAACAAACTTATAAAGACAAAGACTGAGAAGACTGAACACAAATGCCCCTGAAAACAAAATCAGATTCTGCAGATTACAAACTGCAAGTCATGAAATCTGCAGCTGAAAAGGGAAATCGAGCAGCAGAAAGAAAGTTTGGACTTCAGTGACAACGAAACCATCCTGTCGAGATTCAGAAAGACCCGAATAATTGGGTAAATATAACCAGGTCTAGTCCCCGTCTACTGGAACTGGAAGCTGTCCAAAACCAAGTCTAGGTCTAACTGAGGTCTAAACCGGGTCTAACCATGATCAGAATCAGAACCTGGATTTAACCAAGTCAAAGCCAGATCTAAATTAGGTCTAACCAAGATCTAATCCAGGTATAAAAAGGTCTAAACCAAGTCTAACCGAGATCTAACCTGAGGTCTAAACCAGGTCTAAACAAGTTCTAACGAAGGTCTAACCAAGGTCTAACCCAGGTCTAAACCAGGTCTGTCCATGGTTTTCAGTGAATAACAGGCTCAGAGGAGATGTTTTTAAAATGGTCGCATTAGTGGGAGTGACTTTCTCTGTTTTTGAAGGAACTATAAGAATTGTCTAAATAATGTTAGTGATTCTTGAATATAAACATTTACATTCTTAGATTAATCTATGAAGTCTTCATATTTTTATTTTCATTTTGTAGAAAAAACGTGTTAAAACTGTATGTATCAACTTTGACACAGCGGGGCTTTGTGATTATGTTCCTCATCCATCACTATATTGCTATATTATTTTATGATGCAATCTGCAGAATTCATGCAATTCAATGCAAATTTAACACCACACAATTTTTTGTATTTCATAATTAAGATGTCACCTTAAAAATATGTTTTCAGTTATTATTATTATTATTATTATTATTGCATAATTGTGGAATTTTTATCTTTACACGACTTGTATGTAAATGAAAAGTGCAGTGGTTTATTTGGTGTAACTGTCCTCTCTCTTAAATGTTCACGCACAAAATAAATAATAATCTATGTTTTACTGATTCAGAGGATTCTCTCATTTATTTATTTTTTTTACATATATTTTAGGGCTGGGCACGTTAACGCGTTAATTTTGTGTTAACTAATCAAGTTATTATCGCCGACAATTAACAATTATCGCCGTTAACACAGTTTTTATTATTTATTTATTTTATTGTAAACGTCTGTTTCTATAAAATCATCCTGTTCAGGCATTTAAAAACATAATGTTCAGAAACGTTTCTCTGAGTTATAAATGCATTAAAGAGAATTTTGTTTGGTGCTAAAATGGTTGGGTTCTATAAAATGGACCTGAAGGCCCAACGTATCAAATATGATAAAAAAAATTTATTTATAAAATGATCAAAATGATCATTATTTTATTTTTTTAAATATTTTGTTCAAAGGTCCAGTTAAGAGTTCGGGTTAGGGTCAGACTTTATCGGGTTAAAGAAGCCGTCACCGAGTCAGAAGAAGATTTAACGTGTGTTTTCGAGCGGTAAAAATTGCATTACCTTCCATATGGACTCGGGCAGGTTTTTGAGGTCAAGTTTGAGCAGGTTTCCGAGTATGGGGAGCGGTCTGGGTCCAGGAGGCTCCTTCTCATTGGAGTTTGAGGACATGCAATAACCAATGAAGAGAAGTGACACAAATCCAAGAAAAAAGACGGAGATAAAAAGCTCGACGGCCATGTCGGCTCCAGAGCGACACAAGAACGAGAGAGAAGAACGAGAACGAGTGACAGAGCCTGGAGGAAAATACTCAACGTCTGGGAGGAGTTATGAGAAGTTTATGACGCGTGGGATGGTTTGTTTGTTAGTTTGTTTTTTTACATGACAACTGTTAAAAACCTAAAAATTTAAAGCAGCAGGTGAGGATTTTATTAAAGGTCCCATGTTCTTTAAAGAGCACACAACCAGGACTAAACCAGGACTAACCCAGGACTAAACTAGGACTAAACCAGGTCTGAACCTGGACTAAACCAGGACTAAACTAGGACTAAACCAGGATTAACCAGGATTAAACCAGGACTAAACCAGGGCTAAATTAGGACTAAACCAGGACTAACCCAGGACAAAACCAGGTCTAAACTAGGACTAAACCAGGTCTAAACTAGGACTAAACAAGGACTAAACCAGGACTAACCCAGGACTAAACCAGGACAAAACCAGGTCTAAACTAGGACTAAACCAGGTCTAAGCCAGGACTAAACCAGGATTAAACAAGGACTAAACCAGGACTAAACAAGGACTAAACCAGAACTACACCTGGACTAAACCAGGACTAAACTAAGACAAAACCAGGTCTAAACTAGGACTAAACCAGGTCTAAGCCAGGACTAAACCAGGACTAAACCAGGTCTAAGACAGGACTAAACCAGGACTAAACAAGGACTAAACCAGGTCTAAACTAGGACTAAACCAGGTCTAAGTCAGGACTAAACAAGAACTAAACCAGGACTAAACCTGGACTAAACCAGGACTAAACCAGGATTAAAATACAAATAAACTAGGACTAAACCAGGACTAAACTAGGACTAAACCAAGACTAAACCAGGACTAAACCAGGTCCAAACCAGGACTTAACCAGGACTAAACCAGGTCTAAACCAGGGCTAAACCTGGACTAAACCAGGACTACACCAGGATTAAAATACAAATAAACCAGGGCTAACCCAGGACTAAACTAGGACTAAACCAGGACTAAACCAGGTCTAAACCAGGACTAAACTAGGACTAAACCAAGACTAAACCAGGACTAAACCAGGTCCAAACCAGGACTAAACCAGGTCTAAACCAGAACTAAACCAGATCTAAACCAGAATTAAACCAGGTCTAAACCAGGACGTGTGAGGTCATGTCCTCAACCTCGTCTCCTGTGTTTCGCTCGAGGCGGGTCTCACATTTAACCTGCACAACCAGAAAAGAACCACAAAATAATTCAGTGTTTGAAAAGTGCTCCAGGACGTCCTGGAGTTTAGACAAAGATGAGGACAGAAAAACAAAAGCGCTTTATTTTTTTAGCATTTGTTTTTAGGATTAAAGGTCCTGTAGGTTTTCCAGAGCAGCAGAACCACAACCTTTTCTACACCGTGGACCAATTTTACGTCACACAATATGTTCATCGACCGGCCGCTCAAAAGAAAAAGCTGTATCCTGTACTTTTTATAAACTGCATCAACTAAATTTTAACTACATTTTAAACTTGTAAATATATTGGCCGAATCTGAATATAATGCGCAGGTGTCCACGTCTTCAAGAACGTTTTCAACTCCAGGCATCTGCTTTTATCACCTTTGAAAGCTTTGGTCGTCTTTTTACGTTGAGTCAGTTCGTCAACGCTGCCGTCGCCAAAACTTCACCATCGACTCACTGACGCCGAGCTCCTGTTTCCTTCTTCCACAGACACATCAGTCGCCTTTAACTTAAAACAGAGAGACTCAATTGGATCCGGACAGAGACAAAAATCTCTCTTTCTAGCCTTTTGTTCATAGCGGGGTTAGACCTTGGTTAGACCTTGGTTAGACCTTGGTTAGACCTGGTTTAGACCTGGTTTAGACCTTGGGTTAGACCTTGGGTTAGACCTCGGGTTAGACCTTGGTTAGACCTTGGTTAGACCTGGTTCAGACCTGAGTTAGATCTTGGTTGGTCGGTTGGTCTGGTGTTACGGCCCCAGGCCTTAGTTCCAATTTGTTCTGTGTGTTCTAAATAAGTCTGACACACCTGGATTCCTGCTGCAGGAGCCCTGGTCCGTGATTGGTGGGGCAGGAAGACGCCCACCTCACCTGCAGCCACCACCCCCTATTTAATTACCAGCACCTGTTCGGGGCTGCTGGCCTTGGTGGCCAGTCTGCCTTTTTTGTGTTTGTGTGTGTAGTTTAGTTTAGTTCTGTTTTTTGCCTTTTTTGATTTGGTCACTTGATTCTGTTTGTGGGTTTATGTGGTTTATTTTGGGGAACTTGTGTTTTGGTTTAGTGTGTGTCCCTAAGTTTTACCACTTGTTTTTGTGTAAGCCTGCGTGACCCTTTTAGTGGCACAAAACTCTGTTTATTCTGTTGTTCTGTTTCTTAGTTTAGGTTGTTTTCTGTATATTTTTAGTCTTTTGTTAATTTACCTTTACATTCCTGTTAATTAAACATTATTTAATTTATTCCATTTTACATCTTGGTTTTATTTTTGTTACTTCCCTCACCCCAAACGAGCTGGGTCGTAACGCTTGGTTAGACCTGGTTTAGACCTGGTTTAGATCTTGGTTTAGATCTTGGTTAGATCTAGTTTAGATCTGGCTTTGACTTGGTTAAATCCAGGTCTTGATTCTGATCATGGTTAGACCTGGTTTAGACCTCAGTTAGACCTAGACTTGGTTTAGGACAGCTACCAGTTCAGACCTTGTTTAGACCTGGTTTAGACCTGGTTTAGACCTGGTTTAGACCTTGGTTTAGACGGGGACTAGACCTGGTTGTATTGACTGAATTATTCGTGTCTTTCTGAATCCCGACAGGATGGTTTCGGTGTCACTGAAGTCCAGACTTTGTCCATCCAGTGACTTCAGGAAAGTTTCATGGTTCATCCTCCCGGTGTCACAAGTTTCTCTCTCACTCCAAACTTTCTTTCCGCTGCTCGATTTCCGTTTTCAGCTGCAGATTTCACGACTTGCAGTTTGTAATCTGCAGAATCTGATTTTGTTTTCGGGGGAATTTGTGTTCAGTCTTCTCAGTCATCTTTATAAATTTGTTTAAATGTTAAATTGTTCAGTGGTGCAGAAGTAACGGTTCGATCGACTGACATGATACAGACGGGACAGAGGCTCTTTCTGCAGGAGACATGCGCAGTAGAGCCAAGTGACAGTGGTACAGGAGGAACAGGAGCAGCAGATACTCACACACAAGACTAGAACCTCTCGCGACTTAGCTTTGCCGAAGTAGCCATCTAGCCAGTGTATTTAGTATTTATCTAGTCGTGTATTTAGTACTTTGTGCATAGTTCAAATGTTCCATGTGGATTTACAAATTTTTTTGTTAGAAGTTCTAAGCTTGGAAATACACCGTGACTTTTTGGACCCTGGAAACACTGTACATTTGGAAAGTGGACATTTTGAGTTTGTAATTGAGTACTCCAGACTAGAGCCCGACCGATATGGATTTTGTTGTGGCCGATATGAAACCGATATAATGGGAGTTGGAGCTGCCGATAGCCGATATAATCACCGATATATTTAGTGATGTAAAAATTCACTGTAAATCTTGAATTGATTAAAAAACTTAGGTTTGGCTCTAGTGGATTCTAAATTGGGTTTATTTAGGCAACATTTATTGTTATTTTGACTCTTCACATCATATTTACAGACAGTAGTTTGGCCTAATGGCATTTTTGCATCACATTCTAGCTACTAGTGATGGGTATTCCAGGTTTTTTTTTTTTTTTTTTGGAGAACCGGCTCTTTTGGCTCGGCTCACTAAAGCAGCTGGCTCTTTCGGCTCCCAAGCGACTCTTGAGATTGTTTTGTTGCAAGCAGGACTAAACCAGAACTGAACCAGGACTGAAAAAGGACTAAACCAGGACTAAAACAGATTTAAACCATGTGTGAAACAGGACTAAACCAGAACTTAACCAGGTCTGAGTGTCGGGACTCGGTTTCTATCTTTCTCCTGCACTCGAGCCCAAGATTAGTCCTGGTTTATTCATTTTATGCTGAACTGCAGCCAAATATGTACTTTTTTTTTTTTATCCTATGCACACGCAGATTTCTGAAAGTTTCGTTTTCAGCCGCTGCTGCTGAAACTACGGGTCGGCATCACGGCTCCCATCACATTCAAAGAGCCGGATCTATTCACAGCTAACAGCTTAAATACATTATCAGCATGCAGGTCCAGTAACAAATATACGGCCAATATAATCACTTTACAATAGACCAATAGAAAACAGCCTGTTTATGTGCGGGAGCTACAGCAGCTAACCCATAACAAAACCTAAACTAGCTTCAAAGTCGATGTATTTCCAACACTCACCGCTCACACAGGCTCCTCCTCACATCACAAGTCTGCACTAATAAATGTCCTTTTAATCCAGACTCAAACCAATTGTCCGAAAAAGAATATAATCTCAGTGTTGCGCACGGCTGCGGGTGTAAACAAACACACGCGAGTGAAGTGACGTCACTCTGGGGGTGTGTTCAGGGACAGTACAGACACAGACAAATTACACCGCAGATAAATACTGATGCGGAGCCACATATGAGGACATTTATCTGTCTGTAAATTGGATTAAATGAACATAATGTAGAGAGTCTAAGCTTTATAACGAGGTATAACATGCCCACGTGAAATATCGGCCCATATCAGCAAGCATATCGGCCGATAGCTGATATGTCTCCAGGTGCCCATATTGGCCGATAATATCGGCCAGCCGATATATCGGTCGGGCTCTACTCCAGACTCCAGAAAATCTGCATCATCTGCATTTCTTTGTGTGTTTCCATGAGGAGGTTGTGTATGAAGCTCAAAATAACTGTTCAAAACACTATCAAAAGAGCATCTTCCTCGACGTCTCTACTGCTCATGTCTCCTGCAGAAAGAGTCTCTGTCCTGTCTGAATCATGTCAGTGTCTTGGACAATTTCTGCAGATTTCAGACTCTCTCGGGGGTGGGGTTAGGTGTATCGAGGTGTGAGTGGATGTGCAGCTACTGAAGTTCAAGACGTTTGTTCTCATCATTTACACGCTCACCTGCATTTAACAAATACGGGTCATTAAGACAAATCCCACGTTCATTTAGAATCCATGTATCATTCGTTCATTAGATATAAAACAAAAATAAGATAATGAAAAAACAACTTTTCTTCATTATTTGTCTTCAAAATCAAAATGAAAAAACAGATAATGATTCGTTTTTTCAGTTTTCAATTTTCTGTTTAAATAACCGTTTCCCGTTTATGTGAACTTTTGCGCTGCATAGAGACTGAGCCAGGACTGATCCACGTCCGGGACCAGACGGGGACCAGACCAGGACCAGAGGGGGACTCAGACCGAGACCAGACCGGGACTGAGACCGAGACCAGAGCGGGACTGAGACCGAGACCAGAGCGGGACCAGAGTGGGATCAAAGCGGGACCACCAGACCGGGACCAGACCGGGACCAGAGCTGACTCCAAGCTTTGACTCTGAGCCTCTGCGAGGTCCGAGCCTCAGTTTCAAGCTCCGGCCCTGCCGTGGGTTCTGAGCCTCCGGTCTGGTCCCGGACCTGGATCAGTCCTGGTTCAGTCCATATGCAGTGCAAAGGTCCACCATCGCAGTCACGGAAGTCACGTTAACGGGAAACGGTCATAATCCATTTTTTTCCATTTTTCATTTAAACACAAAATCGAAAACTGAAAAAACTAATCGTTATCTGTTTTTTCATTTTGGTTTTGGAGACAAATAATGAAGCAAACAGTTGTTTTTTCATTTTCTTATTTTTGGTTTTATATTGAAAAACAAATGAACGAATGACACACGGATTATTTAGCATCAGAATTTATTTATTTAACTTAATTGTTTTATCGCTGTAACTTCATGTTCACCGCACAGACAGTGGTGTTTTCTGTACTCAGTGTCCTCTGTGTTGCCAAACCACAGACCGTAAATATGAACAGACAATGTGCCAAACAAAGAATCCGTCCGCATATTTGCCGCATCGTTTTATGAGCCACAGGGTGCAAAGTGTGAGAAAAAAATAGCGGCTTATAGTCCAGAAATTATGGTAATTTATAAACTACAAACGCTGTGATAAACTTGATTCAGTATCTGAATGGTTGATAATGCACAGTCCTGTTCATTATATTAACTGCCCTCCCCCATTACTTTATTTTTACTTTTCTTTCATTTGTTGTTTTACTGAAAATGATGAAAATAAATGGCTAAAAATAAAAGATTAGACAAAGAAATAAATGACAACAGCTTTATCTTGTGAATTTATTGAAAATTGTGTCACTGTTAAACGTAACTACTGATTTATGGTGCGTTTGTTTATCCGTCCGACTCAGAAATCCGAGGACGGTGCTTTAGGACACGCCCTGACACGTACTTTTCCTCGGACACAGAAACTCGGAAGAACTCAGAGCCAAAATTCTCAGACAGAATCCACGACGACGTGTTTAGTATGAACATTTTCATTGTGTTTGGAGCTTTGGTGGTTTAAATGGCAATTTAAAGGTTTGAATGTTCGGCGCGTGTTGTTTGTATTTGATTTTATTTGATTTGACTTTTTATGGACTCTGCACGACCAGAGATGTAAGAACTGAATTTTGTTTATACTAAATTGTTCTGTTTATACTGAATTATTCTGTATATACGAAATTATTCTGTTTATATTAAATTATTCTGTTTATACTGAATTATTCTGTTTATCCTGAATTATTCTTCGGTTGTGTATTTGAAGCACAGATTTATTTTTGGGCCTGATACTTGGCCGATGCCAAAACAACAACAGCTTTCTGGTTTGGCGTCCACATTTTTCTCCGAGTGAAACAAATGAAACATAATAAACCAGTTGAAGCGCAGACATGACGTCGTTTCCGAGATCCGAGTTGGAGACGGATGGATAAAAGAACGCACCTTTACTTTTCTGATATTTCATTGCAAATTTCAGTGGAATTAAAAGGAAAAACTTCTCCTGCCCCCATCAACTCCAGAAAAGCAAACAGCTCGTCTTTCAAAGGTCTGGAGGGTGTTTAGGAGCAGGACACGACGCAGAGTTTGTGCGGCGCAGGGTTCAGCGTGAGGCCGACCCGAGCGCTCAGGTCCAGGTCCTCCTCACGAACACCAGGGGGCGCAGTGAAGCGGAAACTCTGCACCAACGTCACAAAGAAAATGAACAACTCCATCCGAGCCAAAGATTCTCCCAGACAAATCCTACGACCTGAAAGAAAGAAAGAGGAGAGAGGGATGAGAGGAGAGAGGAGAGAGGGGGACTCTTCAAGACTTGTTCTTTCTTCAGTTTTGTGTGTAAACAAAATCATTTATTAAAACTCAATGTTTTATTAGTTAATGTGTTTTTTGTGTGTTTGCAAAGAAAAGAAACTTAGAACTCATCAACACTTCTGAGGCTACACTTTGCCCCCCTCCCCCTGTCCCGAATTTCAGTCAATCTCATCTGGTCACCCTCGACGAATGTCTTATCCAGTTTTACTCTAGACCAGGGGTGTCAAACTCATTTTGGTCCGGGGGCTGTATCCAACCTACTTTGATCCAAAGTGTCCGGATCAGAAAACTCATGTCATATAAACCCAAAAATAACAATAAGTTCAAATATTTGTGCAACACAAATCTATTACAGAAATCTTTTTTAGATGATGAACTCTTTCTTTTACAAAATATTATAATATTATGAACAACCTGAAATGTTTCAATTTAAACACAATGTTTTAACATTAACTTGCATTTGCATTGTATGCATTTGATAGAATTTAGTCATGTTTTCTTTTTTGCTCCTGAAACTTTTATCCTGAACAAGTGCATCAATATCAGGCACCACGTCCTGATCTTCAGAATGTCATTCAGGTGCTTGTGTGTTGTGTGTGTGTGTGTGTGTGTTGTGTTTTAGCTTTGACGCAGTTTTGTTTTATTCATGTTCATTACTGAGAAAACCTGCTCACAAAGGTAGTAACTGTAAATCTATTATTTCCAGTTGCATGTCTGTGAGCACATCAGAGGTTTTGACGGTGAATGGTGTACGAAAAATTGCAAATTCTTTCTTCAGGTTTTAAAATATAATTCAAATATTTTAGTAGAAAATCAGCCAAGGGCCAGATTAAAGGTCTTGAAGGGCCAGATCTGGCCCCCGAGCCATATGTTTGACACCCCTGCTCTAGGTCCTCGGTGCTGTACCTGCAGAGAAGGGCATGAAGGCGTCTCTCTTCCTGAACGTTCCGTCTTTGTGGAGGAAGTGATCCGGATGGAAACTGTGAGGCTTTTCCCACTCGCTCTCGTCGTAGAGCACTGAGGTGAGGAGCGGCCACACCTGAGTGCCCTGAAAACAACACACCGGGGTCGTGGTTAGGAGTTACCATGGAAACGAAATGCACACATTAACAAACAGTGTCAAAAAAGTTTTCTGACTATCTGAAAAGTCAAGAAAAAAAGCAAAAGTGATTTAAACGGCACATTTTCAGAAATCTGTGATCAGTCCGGGTGGTGGTTCTCCAGTTACTCGTCTCCGTGGAAATGTTATTGCTTTACCTCCAATATTCCAAAGTATTGCATTAAACCTTTCAGTCTCCATAGAAACAAGCAGGAGACGCCACCTGAAGTGTGTGGAATTGGATTGTGTGTGTTTGTTCTTAAAGAAACAAGGGCGTCTTTTCTTTAGACATACAGAATTTTTCACGCCACGCATTTTCATCAGCAACTCCTTCCACAAAGTCATGTCTGTTCCGCCTCACCCTTTTGATGAAGTGTCCCTGGAAGGTGATGTCTCGGCTGGTTTTGTGGGGCAGGGACATTGGGACGATGTTGGCGAACCTCTGAGTCTCGTGGATCACGGCGTCTGTGAAGGGCATGTCTCTTCTGTCCTCCGTCTGGACCTGGCGACTTCCGATCACCCTGAAGATCTCCTCACGAACCCGGTCTGAGAAAAGGAGAGAAACAAGACTGAACTAGGACAAAAGCAGGACTAAAGCAGGACTGAAGCAGGATTGAACCAGGACTAAAGCAGGACTGAAGCAGGATTGAACCAGGACTAAAGCAGGACTAAAGCAGGACTGAACCAGGACTAAAGCAGGACTGAACCAGGACTAAAGCAGGACTAAAGCAGGACTGAACCAGGACAACCAATAGACAACCAATAAAAAGTGCTCAGTCGTAACAATCTTCTAGAGCAGATCTTAACATTCTTCAAACTCTTCTGACTCTGCTCTTCTTACCCTGGATGTGTGGGAACTTGGCCATGAGCAGAAAGGCCCATCTCAGAGTCGTGGCTGTGGTGTCGGTTCCTGCTGCAAACATCTGCAGAACCGTCCGGAGCAGGTTCTCCTCGTGGTACGGAGAGTTAGGAACGCCGCTCTCCTGCCAACCAAACACAACAGATGCTTTAAAGGGGTACTGCATAACTTTTCCGGTACAGGGCCCGACAGTGTTCGAAAATATGGCATGAAACTTTTCAGTCTCCATAGGAACAAGCAGGACTAAAGCAGGACTGTCCAAATAAACAGTCACAATAACAGCAAAAATGAATCACCGTGGTACTAAGAGGCCCATCGTGGTGCCCACCGTGTTGGGCCACCGCGATCACCACACGTGACCAATGTGAGTCGACCCAGAGTCCTGCACAGGTCCGTTTTTAGAGACCCGCACCCGCCCAGACCCAGTAACATTCCACCCTTTACCGCCAGTGCTCGTGGTAACTCAGGACTAACCCAGGACTAAGGTGCACCCATGTAGACCGTCTGGTGACAGTCGAAAAGACCGGTGTAGAGCGCTGCGCCGCACGGAGGTAAACGCAGCCGTCGCACGATCGCGCTTTGTGGACACCTGCTCCATGGGCTCGGGGTTCTCTCTTTCTAAAGTCTACAGGTACACGACCTGGTGCAGGACCCTGACCCCGACCTGGTACAGAACTCTGACCCGACCTGGAGCAGGACTCTGACTCAAGCTGCCACAGTGAGAGCTGGAGAGATGCAGAGACACTTGTTCCAAAGCCAAATGTTTCTTCTCCCACGCTACACACACTACACACGCTACACACACTACACGCGCTATACACACTACACACGCTACACACACTACACACGCTACACACGCTACACACGCTGCACACACTACACGCGCTACACACACTACACACACTACACACGCTACACACGCTACACACACTACACACACTACACACACTACACACACTCCATCCACACCACAACCTGGGTCTGGGGAGAAACTCCCTAACTAAATTTGACATAACTAAAGTAAAAAGTTTGATCACCGTGTGCAAACAGCATCAAACCCTCTCTAATCCAAAGAAATATGTGTCAGGGTCAAGGTTTAGCTTTATTGGATCTATACAACTGTACACGGAAAAATGTAAAGTAGCTTATTTCGACGGGGCTGCGTGAATCGATAAACGTCACTGTTGATTTAGGCTGTGGGGAGCTTATTTCGACAGAACGACACTAAACAGAAACTCTTTGGTCCCTGAGATCTGCTCTGTCAGATGAATAAAAGAGCACAGAAAACACATGTCTGACAGATCAGTTTTAGTGTATTTTGCTGAGATTAAATTAAAAACATTGATGGTGTTTGGGACTGACCTTTTCCTGAGTCAGCATGAAGGCGTCCACGAAGCCTCTGCACATCTGTGGGTTCAGAGTCTCTCTCAGTTTCTGAAAAAACCTTCGATTCTGTTCTTCAGCTTCCTCCTTGTTTTTCATAACTTCATTCCTGTTTGGCACCAGGCGCCCGAGCCACGGGAACAGGTTATAGATCTGCACAAAGCACATTTAGTCAATCTAAAGGGCTCCAAACTTCTACTCTACTCTAAGCTACTTTTACAAACCCAAAATGCCAAAAGCGATACTCATTTATTATATATAAGAAATTGATATAAGAAAGATGGCAAGACTTAGATGGAGACAGCTAAATGCAAAAACAAATATAAAACATAAACCATTATCCATTTATTAGGTCAAAGAGTTAAGCACCAGAGGTAATAATTATGTAATTAATGCATTTTGAGTTATTCAGCATAATATGTATAATTCAGACCCAGACTCTATGTGATGAATACGATTTTTTGAGGGACAAAATAATGAAATAGAATCATGTGTTGTGGGTTAATACGAATATTTTAAGACCAAAATGCCAAAGCTCAAAGCAGCAGGTACAGAGAGGAGCCTTAAATGGACGGGTGTTTGTCTGACCTGACTCGACGGGGGTTTGTCTGACCTGACTTGAATGGACGGGTGTGTGTATGACTTGAATGGACGGGTGTGTGTATGACTTGAATGGACGGGTGTGTGTATGACTTGAATGGACGGGTGTGTGTATGACTTGAATGGACAGGTGTTTGTCTGACCTGATTTGAATGGACTGGTATTTGTCTGACCTGACTCGATGGGTGTTTGTCTGACCTGACTCGATGGGTGTGTGTATGACCTGACTCAACAGGTGTTTGTCTGACCTGACTCGACGGGTGTGTGTCTGACCTGACTCGACGGGTGTGTGTATGCCCTGATTCAATGGGTGTTTGTCTGACTTGAATGGACAGGTGTTCGTCTGACCTGAATGGACGGGTGTTTGTCTGACCTGACTCGACGGGGGTTTGTCTGACTTGAATGGACAGGTGTTCGTCTGACCTGAATGGACGGGTGTTTGTCTGACCTGACTCGACGGGGGTTTGTCTGACCTGACTCGACGGGTGTTTGTCTGACCTGACTCGACGGGTGTGTGTATGACCTGACTCGACGGGTGTTTGTCTGACCTGACTTGAATGGACGGGTGTTTGTCTGACTTGAATGGACGGGTGTTTGTCTGACCTGACTTGAATGGACGGGTGTTTGTCTGACCTGAATGGACGGGTGTTTGTCTGACCTGACTCAACAGATGTTTGTCTGACCTGACTCGACGGGTGTGTGTATGACCTGACTCGATGGGTGTGTGTCTGACCTGAATGGACGGGTGTTTGTCTGACCTGACTCGACGGGTGTGTGTATGACCTGACTTGACGGGTGTGTGTATGACCTGACTCGACGGGTGTTTGCCTGACCTGACTCGATGGGTGTTTGTCTGACCTGACTCGACGGGTGTTTGACTGACCTGACTTGACGGGGGTTTGTCTGACCTGACTCGACGGGTGTTTGACTGACCTGACTCAACAGATGTTTGTCTGACCTGACTCGACGGTTGTGTGTATGACCTGACTCGACGGTTGTGTGTATGACCTGACTCGACGCTTGTGTGTATAACCTGAATGGACGGGTGTGTGTATGACCTGACTCGACGGTTGTGTGTATGACCTGACTCGACGGGTGTGTGTATGACCTGACTCGACGGTTGTGTGTGTATGACCTGACTCGACGGTTGTGTGTATGACCTGACTCGACGGTTGTGTGTGTATGACCTGACTCGACGGGTGTGTGTATGACCTGAATGGACGGGGAGCCCAGCAGCTGCATGTTCCTGTTGATGTTTTGGACCAGAGTGATGAAGTCGGGGTCGTCGTATTCGAAGCGGCTGCCGTAGACCAGGGAGCAGATGATGTTTGACACGGCGCAGTTCACCGACTCCGTCAAGTCAAACGCTTCTCCTGAAATCAACAAAGAGGAAATATTCAACTTCTGTGGGGCATTAACTAAAACACAAATACACAAACAGGATTTAGATCATTTAGGTTTAGTTTGATTGTTTTTGGTTTACCCAAGTTGGTCCTGATTTAGACCAGGTTTAGTCCTGGTTTTGTCTTGGTTTAGACCAGGTTTAGTCCTGGTTAGTCCTTGTTTAGTTCTAGTTTAGACCTGGTTTGTTGGTGCTATTTTAGTCCTGGTTTAGTCCTGTTTCATCCTGATTTGGTTTAGTCCTGTTTTAGTCCTGTTTTAGTCCTGTTTTAGTCCTGGTTTAGTCCTGTTTTTCATCCTGATTTGGTTTAGTCCTGTTTTAGTCCTGTTTTAGTCCTAGTTTAGTCCTGTTTTAGTCCTGATTTGGTTTAGTCCTGTTTTAGTCCTGTTTTAGTCATGGTTTAGTCCTGTTTAATCCTGATTTGGTTTAGTCCTGTTTTAGTCCTAGTTTAGTCCTGTTTAATCCTGATTTGGTTTAGTCCTGTTTTAGTCCTGTTTTAGTCCTAGTTTAGTCCTGTTTCATCCTGATTTGGTTTAGTCCTGTTTTAGTCCTAGTTTAGTCCTGTTTCATCCTGATTTGGTTTAGTCCTGTTTTTAGTCCTGTTTTTAGTCCTAGTTTAGTCCTGTTTTCATCCTGATTTGGTTTAGTCCTGTTTTAGTCCTAGTTTAGTCCTGTTTATCCTGATTTGGTTTAGTCCTGTTTTAGTCCTGTTTTTTAATCCTGTTTTAGCCTTGGTTTAGTCCTTGTTTAGTCCTGTTTAATCCTGATTTGGTTTAGTCCTGGTTTAGTCCTGTTTTAGTCCTGGTTTAATCCTGTTTTAGTCCTGTTTTAGCCTTGGTTTAGTCCTGTTTAATCCTGATTTGGTTTAGTCCTGGTTTAGTCCTGTTTTAGTCCTGTTTTAGTCCTGTTTTTTAATCCTGTTTTAGCCTTGGTTTAGTCCTTGTTTAGTCCTGTTTAATCCTGATTTGGTTTAGTCCTGTTTTTTAGTCCTGTTTTAGTCCTGTTTAGTCCTTGTTTTAGTCCTGTTTAGTCCTGTTTTAGCCTTTTTAGTCCTGTTTAATCCTGATTTGGTTTAGTCCTGGTTTAGTCCTGTTTTAGTACTGTTTTAGCCTTAGTTTAGTCCTGTTTAATCCTGATTTGGTTTAGTCCTGGTTTAGTCCTGTTTTAGTCCTGTTTTAGTCCTGTTTTAGCCTTGGTTTTAGTCCTGGTTTAGTCCTGTTTAATCCTGGTTTGGTTTTAATCCTGTTTTAATCCTGTTTTAGTCCTGGTTCAGTCCTGGTTCAGTCCTGGTTCAGTCTCACCTCTGTACTCGTTGAAGACCTGGCTGAGACACTGGGCTTCTTCTCGGATCTTGTCCTCGCAGACTCTCCGGCCCATCCCGAAGTCCCTGAGGTTGGTCAGACTGAAGCGTCTCATCTCCCTCCAGGCGTCTCCGTTGGCCCAGATCACTCCTGGACACAAATCAAGATATGAACATTATTACTAGACTAATGAGCCCGGAAAAGTGCGAGTACCTTCAGCAACCTTGGCGAAAATCTGGTAAGACAAAAATTGTGACAATCCCGGTTTAGACTAAATTTAGACCTGTATTTTTCGGACTATAAGTGTCACTTTTTTCATGGTTTGTGTGTTTCCTGCGACTTACTCTCCAGTGTGACTTCGATATTAACTCTTTCCCCCCTGGACGCCTACTAGGAACAACCCATACATATGTTACTAGGGCTGCCCCACAGAGCATAACTGCATAAAAGAAAACAGACTTCCACGAGTGATTTCAGGGCAATTTTGGTTCATAATCGAGTATAAAGCCCGGATAGTTTGTTTGGATATCGCAGGACTCCATACAGACGCATCAGCGGCATTCTCATCTTCGTAAGATTCACTCTCTGTAAGTCCGTCGCTATCGCTGTTTTCCACTTTATAATCACCCTCATCATCACTTTGAAATCTATAAAAGTCACTTTCTCTAAACTTATCCATAAAATACGTCCGCTCCTCATTATTTCTAAAACTGTGCGCCACAGCGCCGCGATCTTTCCATTGCACGTGTTTCGTGTTGTGTTTTTTCCGGAAGCTACCATCGTCACTACTTCGATTAACTTCGGAAAAAATCGGCAAAAACATATCCTTGAATCCTAATGGTCAGTCTAGTGTGGGTTGTAGTGGCCTCTACCTATACCTATTGAACCAGGACTAAACTGCTTTCAATCCTGGTCTGGTCCCAGTCTCAGTCCTGGTATCAGTCCCGGTCTCAGTCCTGGTCCTGTTTCTGGTCTCAGTCCTGGTCTCAGTTCTGGTCTGGTCCCAGTCTCAGGCCCGGTCTGTTCCCGGTCTGTTCCCGGTCTCAGTGCCGGTCTCAGTCCCGGTCTGGTTCCGGTCTGGTTGGACCTGGTTCAATCCTGGTTCAGTTCTGGGTCAGTCCGGCATCGGAGTTTAAGTCACGGAAACGGGAAACGGTCATTATCCGTTTTTTTTTTCCATTTTTCATTTAAACACAAAATCAAAAACTGACAAACCGAATCATTATCTGTTTTTCCATTTTAGTTTTGGAGACAAATAATGAAGAAAATTGTTTTTTTTTTTTTTACTTTCTTGTTTTTGGATTTTACTGAAAAACAAATGAACGAACGACACACATGGATTCTGGATTTACCGGCTTTGTTCACGTCCAGCGTCTCCTTCAGGATGTGCGGGACTTCTCTGTCTCCAAACACCTCGGCGTGGGTCACCAGAGCCTCCTTCACCGTCTTGTACCCGGCCACGACCACCACCCGATGAGGGCCCAACCACACCGAGAACACGGGGCCGTACTGACGAGCAAACTACCACAAAAACACAAACACAAAATCTTTCAAATACAGCCACGGATAACACTGCTGTTTCACTTTTTTTTACTTTTATTGTTTACTTTTTCCGCCGGATGCACACATAACCAGACATAACACACTTTTAATGCATTATGTATATCCTCAAGTTCTATTTACTCATTAAACTTGTTTAAACTTTAACTTTTGCCTCGAATCTCGCATTTCAAATATTTAAACTTCTTAAAAAGCTCTGGAGAAAACAGCACAAAGCCTCTGAGTCACTGGGTCACTGGGTCAAGTCCTTTGAAATTGTCCGTAGTAAAATTAAAAGTGCAGTTTGTATTAAAATTAAAAGTGCAGTTTGTAGTAAAAGTCAAGGTGCAGTCTGGAGTAAAAGTAAAAGTGTAGTCGGTAGTAAAAGTAAACAGTTTGTAGTAAAAGTAAAAGGGTCTGCACAGGTGAGTCTGGGTACGAACAGGTGAGTCTGGATCTGTGTGCGCAGGTGAGTCTGGGTCTGCGCAGGTGAGTCTGGGTCTGCGCAGGTGAGTCTGGGTGAGTCTGGGTCTGCGCAGGTGAGTCTGGGTCTGCGCAGGTGAGTCTGGGTCAGGGTCTGGGCCCTGTTCAGCTCCAGAGATCACACATCTCATAGCCCCGCCCCTCGTGATGTGATTGATTGTGAAAGTCCCAAGAGAGATTTAAACGTTTATGCAGACTGACCTTTTACACACATACATTTTAAGTGTTAATATTTAACTGTGTCGCAGCTTTGTGCAAAGGTTCTAATGAATAAAAATCACATGATCTGACCTTTGGATGGATTTACAGACACATTCTGTTATAATTTTTTTATGATTTTTTTATCAATTTGATCAAACCAACCAAGTCTCTCCAGTCAGTATCAGCAAAAAGATAAGTTAGATTAGCTTGATCTATTTGCTGTAGTTTCACACTGATCCGGAGGTTCCGGAGTCACACTGCAGATATTTGTACCTGATTTATGGTTCATCTTTCTGAGATCACATGAAAGTTCTAATTAAACACATTTGTTTCACACACTGCACTTGGAGCAAACATTCAGATTTAAATTATAAAGGGTTCAATAAAGGTCCTATATTGTGCAAAACTGACTTTTGTGAGCTTTAAGCCATTTTAGAACGTTGTTGCCTCCTTTAAAAAACAGACCTGGAGTCATGTTTTGTTTCATTCACAATAGTGTTGTAATACTCGAGATCGTTTTTTTCACGGTCTTGGTCTCGCCTTTTCTCTGACTCGAGGTTTGAAACTCGACGAGTGTGATCATATTTCACAACGGCCGCTGTTGTCGGCAATTAGGAAAAAAGGTTTAAAAATCCTACCCACTTTCTTCACTTTGAAGCAGTTTTCTGTAAAGTGCCAGTGGAAATGGGATTAATGAAAACTGTTGGTGAGGGTCCAAAAAAGAGGTTTAAGTGAAGTATAGTTTGTTTGTCTTATTTTTAGTTAATTTTGCATTAACTAATTAATTCATTTAAAAGTCTCGGTCTCGACCTTTAAAAGTTATTAGTTATAAGTTATTATTAGTCTGTCTACATCTCCAAATCAAAGAGAGAGTTTTACCTTTCAGGTTTTGTTTTCCCTAAATATGAAAAAACACAACTCCAGGTCTGTTTTTTGACAAGGAAACAACATTATAACAGAACAGAGAGAAGTGTAATATGAGCCCTCGAAATATGGATTAAACCAGGGGTGCTCACACTTTTTCAGCATGTGAGCTACTTACAAAATGACCAAGTCATAAAGATCTGCCTAATACAAAGCCAAGCAAATTGCACTGAAACACTCTGTGCCCCTTTTTTTGGACCCTCACCCACAGTTTGAGAACCTCTTCTTTAAGAGAACTTCCTCTGGCACTTTACACAAAACTGTGAAAAAAGTGAATGAAGATTTTTAAACCTGTTTTTTAAAGTTCCAAACTGGAGTTTCATTCTTTTCTGGTTTTGCAGTGATATTTTCCAGCCTCTGCACGTTTACCAAACCAAACGCACATCGTGACAAAACACAGATGCATTTGTGCACTTTTGTTAGACAAACTTCAGCCAAATGTGGCAGTAGGTCTGTTCTGTAGATCCGCTCTATGCTGTAGACCTGCTTTGTGCCAACACTGGAACACAAATTTAGACTGGTTTTTGCTTCACGTTTGGTCTTGCTCTTCTAATCAGCCGCACTGTGGGAGGGGCTTGTGTTCGCTGTACGCAGGAAGGAGCGAGAGCGTGAAAAGGCGAGGGGCGGCGTGCTGACGTGAGGCAGATGGACAGGTAGGATGTTCAGGAAGTTGAACCTGCCCTGTGATGCACGCTGGTACACGAGGGCACACGCTGTCGCAGACGAGCCGTGCGTAGGGAGCGTGTGTGTTTGTGATGCGCCGTAGAGTCTCCGCGGGCTGCACTGAGACGCCCCACACGCTCCTGCTCCCCGGTACAAGTTAATTGCCAACAGCAGCGACCCGTAATGAAATATGATCGCACTTGTTGAGTGTCAGATCTTGAGTGAGAGACAAGACCGAGTCCAAACGCGAGTCCGAGACGAGACACGGCGATCTACCCACACGACCTTGGCGATCAACTGGTAGATCGCGATTGACGTATTGAGCACCACTGGATTAAACATCCAGGGGTGCTCAATTCATCCCCAGACAATTTTAGAGCTGCACATCAAAGTCTCAAAGTGCGTTTAAATCATTGTTTTTAGCTGATCAATTCCATCACTGATCTTGAAATAAGGCGCTGAGTATGTTACGTTCACCTGAGTCAGGGTCTGGTAGGGTCTCTTCAGGTCCAGCTGCAGCAGGTTCCCCAGGACTGGGACTGGTCTGGGTCCTGGGGGTCCCCCATCTGAGTCCAGACCACTATAGGCCAGGCAGAACAGGATCAAGAAAAGGACGAGCCCCAGAACGGAGCCGGGACTGGAGAGGAGCACTTCTGAAAACCCCATCGGACCAGTGGATACTGTGGTTTAATGTTAATGCAGAGCGATGGTATTTAATAGAGAGGGGCGGGGCTTAAACTTCACTTCAAAGGTTATTTCAGGTGAGAGGAGGAGATCTCGAGTAAAAGTTTATGCAGCAGGACTATTCAACTAATAAACATAAAAGCACAAAACAAGACTAGAACCAACCCACAAGTCTAAACCAGGACTAACCCAAACACAAGCCCAGGTTTATGAACAAGATTATAACATGATTTAAGACGTATGATAAACATTTCCAGACTCTGGCCCCTTTGTCCCTCCCCACTTGAACTGGCCCTATGATGCAATCCTCAAAAGCTGTCATGGCCTATTTTGATTAGTTAGTTAATAATAATAATAATATATAATAATAATGATTATTATTATTATTATTATTATTATTATTAATATTATTAAAATTAGGCAGTTTATGCAAATCACTAAAGTTAATCTACAGACCGAAGGGGTTTAGGCTGAATTTTAACGCTTGTTTTGTCAAATCCCTTTTTAACATAAAGAACAGGAGACCAGACGGCAGAACTATTTACAGAAAACAACACAAAGCTCGTCTATTATGAGCGCAGGAAAGAGTACGTACGTAAATAATTTGGTATACACATATAGACAATATATTAATGAATTATTTATTAATCATTGCATTTACCCAAAGCGCTTTACAGTTCATTATTCATTCACTCAACACTTGGTGGTGGTAAACTCCTGGGGCAGACTGATGGAAGCAAATCTGCCAGAAAATACTGCATTTACTACAGGAGAATATACCTACTCAAGCTCCATCCACCTGTACAGTCAGTCTATACATGTATCCTTATTTACACTGAAATATAGATTTAAAATGAAAAGAAATGAAGAGAAACATGTCCACAAACTCCAGTTCACAGTTTCAGTTCAATTGTTCAACTTCATAGAACAAAGTAAGTACAGAGCAGTGGAAGTGCACTGGTGTAGGGGGAAATCGGACGCTGCACGAATCCTTAATTTATAAGCATGTTTGAGAGACCATAACTTCATCAAAAATAGAGCTAGGAAGCTGAAAAAATGTGTATTATCGTAAATTACTGGTCATAGATTCTGAATCTGTTGTCAAATATTGTGTATCTTTATTAAGGGGGGCTCTGTGGGCCCTCAAAATCTCACATTTGGTTGCTGCTCAATTTTTATTTATTTTTTCTTCAATTTTTGAGGTCCAAAATCTATTTACTCCAAATAAATATTTACAAACTAACTGAAAATTTGAGAGAATGACCATTTCTGACCACAATCTCACACTTTTCTGAGTTTTCATGTGGACGGTGTAGAGTCCCAAATATGGTCACAGACCAAATCTGATCTTTTTGGCCTCTTCTTTTGAGCCTCGGTTCCCCATGTGGCACAGTTAGATGTTGATCAAATTTTTACCAGAGAAACTTTGGCATATTCTGATTAGTTTAAAGTAATAAAAACATCTACTATTAACTTCCTTCATTTCAAACTGAATTTTTGAAAATGAGCTCTCATGGGTCATTTTTGGTGGAGCTTAGGTACATTTCCACCTTCTAGAAAGGTTCAAATACCTTTAATAGACTTAAACATTATTTGCTTGTTATAAGGGAAGACAATTACAAAAAAATGTAATTTAAACACAATGTTTTAACATTAACTTGTATGCATTTCATAGAATTTAGTCATGGTTTCTTTTTGCTCCTGAAACTTGGCATCTTTTATCCTGAACAAGTGCATCAATATCAAGCACCATGTCCTGATCTTCAGAATGTCATTCAAGTGCTTGTGTGATGTATGTTGTGTGATGTGTGTTGTGTGATGTGTGTTGTGTGTTGTGTGTTGTGTTTTAGCTTTGACGCAGCTTTGTTTTATTCATGTTCATTACTGAGAAAACCTGCTCACAAAGGTAGTAACTGTAAATCTATTATTTCTAGTTGCATGTCTGCGGCACATCAGAGGTTTTGACTGTGAATGGTGTACGAAAAATGGTAAATTCTGTCTTCAGGTTTTGAAATATAATTAAAATATTTTAATAGAAAATCAGCCGAGGGTCAGATTAAAGGTCTTGGAGGCCGGATCCGTATGTTTAAATGGTCACATTTTTCTATAGTGCTTTTCCACCTTCAAGGCACTCAAAGCGCTTTACAACACTCACCCATTCACATACACACACCAGTGTACACAGGTGGGCAAGGTAAAGTGTCTTGCCCAAGGACACAACAGCAGCATTCATCTGTGGGAGCTGGAATCACACCAACCTGTGGGTCAGTGGATCTGACCACTCAACCTGTGATGTTTATGTACAGAGCTGGATTTGAACCACCAACCTTCAGATCAGTGGGCGAATGCTCTACCAACTGAGCTAACACCCCTGTACTAGACGGTTTGAAGGCAAGAACCCCGGAAGTTGTAGACGGCGCACCGGCCAATCAGCTGTGAGCTGTGAAGTCATGACGTCAAACTCGTGGCGTCTGTCTGTGCATTGTTGTTTAAGCTGCAGGGTGCAAAGTGTGAGAAAAAAATAGCGGCTTATAGTCCAGAAATTATGGTAATTTATAAACTACAAACACCATGATAAAAACTTGATTCAATATCTGAATGGTTGATAATGCACAGTCCTGTTCATTATATTAACTGCCCTCCCCCATTACTTTGTTTGTTTTTACTTTTCTTTCATTTGTTGTTTTACTGAAAATTATGGAAATAAATGTCTAAAAATAAAAGATTAGACAAAGAAATAAATGACAACAGCTTTATTTTGTGAATTTATAGAAAATTGTGCCACTGTTAAATGTAACTACTGATTTATGGTGCGTTTGTTTATCCGTCCGACTCAGAAATCCGAGGATGTTGCTTTGGGACACGTCCTTTTCCTCAGACAGAGAAACTGGGAAGAACTCAGAGCCAGGATTCCCAGACAGAATCCACGACGACGTGTTTAGTATGAACTGTTTTCATTGTGTTTGGAGGTTTGGTGGTTTAAATGACAATTTAAAGGTTTGAATGTTCGGCGCGTGTTGTTTGTATTTGATTTGGTTTTATTTAACTTTTTATGGACTCTGCACGACCAGAGATGTAAGAACTGAATTTTGTTTATACTGAATTGTTCTGTTTATACTGAACTATTCTGTTTATACTGAATTATTCTGTTTATACTAAATTATTCTGTTTATACTGAATTCTTCTTCAGTTGTGTATTTGAAGTACAGATTTATTTTGGGGCCTGATACTCGGCCGATCCTAAAGCAACAAAAGCTTTCTGGTTTGGCGTCCACGAAAACATAATAAATATAATAAACCAGTTGAAGCGCAGACATGACGTCGTTTCCGAGATCCGAGTTGGAGACGGATGGATAAAAGAACGCACCTTTACTTTTCTGATATTTCATTGCAAAGTTCAGTGGAATTAAAAGGAAAAACTTCTCCTGCCCCCATCAACTCCAGAAAAGCAAACAGCTCGTCTTTCAAAGGTCTGGAGGGTGTTTAGGAGCAGGACACGACGCAGAGTTTGTGCGGCGTAGGGTTCAGCGTGAGGCCGACCCGAGCTCTCAGGTCCAGGTCCTCCTCGCGAACACCAGGGGGCGCAGTGAAGCGGAAACTCTGCATCAACGTCACAAAGAAAATGAACAACTCCATCCGAGCCAAAGACTTCTCCCAGACAAATCCTACGACCTGAAAGAAAGAAAGAGGAGAGAGGGATGAGAGGAGAGAGGAGAGAGGGGGACTCTTCAAGACTTGTTCTTTCTTCAGTTTTGTGTGTAAACAAAATCATTTATTAAAACTCAATGTTTTTATTAGTTAATGTGATTTTTGTGTGTTTGCAAAGAAAAGAAACTTAGAACTCATCAACACTTCTGAGGCTACACTTTGCCCCCCTCCCCCTGTCCCGAATTTCAGTCAATCTCATCTGGTCACCCTCAGCGAATGTCTTATCCAGTTTTACTCTAGACCAGGGGTGTCAAACTCATTTTGGTCCGGGGGCTGTATCCAACCTACTTTGATCCAAAGTGTCCGGATCAGAAAACTCATGTCATATAAACCCAAAAATAACAATAAGTTAAAATATTTGTGCAGAGAAACACAAATCTATTACAGAAATCTTTTTTTAAATGATGAACTCTTTCTTTTACAAAATATGATAATATTATGAACAACCTGAAATTTTTCAATTTACACAAAATGTTTTAACATTAACTTGCATTTGCATTATATGCATTTCATAAAATTTAGTCATGTTTTCTTTTTGCTCCTGAAACTTGGCATCTTTTTCCTGAACAAGTGCATCAATATCAGGCACCACGTCCTGATCTTCAGAATGTCATTCAGGTGCTTGTGTGTTGTGTGTTGTGTGTTGTGTTTTAGCTTTGACGCAGTTTTGTTTTATTCATGCTCATTACTGAGAAAACCTGCTCACAAAGGTAGTAACTGTAAATCTATTATTTCCAGTTGCATGTCTGTGAGCACATCAGAGGTTTTGACGGTGAATGGTGTACGAAAAATTGCAAATTCTGTATTCAGGTTTTAAAATAGAATTAAAATATTTCAGTAGAAAATCAGCCGAGGGCCAGATTAAAAGTCTTGAAGAAATTTTAGAAGCAGTACGTGTATGTGTGAGTACATTTTACCCATTTAAATGCACTTTACTTGAGTAGAAATGTGCTGTACTCTGAGTTGTACCTGCAGAGAAGGGCATGAAGGCGTCTCTCTTCCTGAACGTTCCGTCTTTGTGGAGGAAGTGAGCCGGATAGAAACTGTGAGGCTTTTCCCATTCGCTCTCGTCAAAGTGCACAGAGGTGAGGAGCAGCCACACCTGAGTGCCCTGAAAACAACACAGCACATTAACAAAGAGTGTCAAAAAAGTTTTACCTGCTCTGAAAACTCAAGAAAAAATGGTTATTGGAGGAGAGGAGAGGAGAGATGAGAGGAAACGAGAGGAAATGAGAGGAGAGGAGAGAGAGGAGAGAGAGGAGAAGAGAGGAGAGGAGTGAAAAAAAAATTAAGACGGTCTGAAAACTCAAGAAAAAACGCAAAAGTGATTTAAACGGCACATTTTCAGAAATCTGTGATCAGTCCGGGTGGTGGTTCTCCAGTTACTCGTCTCCATGGAGATGTTATTGCTTTACCTCC